AAAGTTAGGGAGAGATCGGGAGAAAGAGAGAGAGAGAGAGAGAGAGAGAGAGAGAGAAGAAATAAAGAAAAATTATATTCCTTCCGTGCCTATGTCTGTCTGTCTATCAGTCTGCCTGCCTTTCTCTCTCTCTCTCTCTCTCTCTCTCTCTCTCGCTTCTTCTTCTTCTTCTCTGATATCTGTCTAACTCTGTCTATGTTTTTTATTTTTTAATAAAAAATGAAAAGAGAAATAAGGCCGGAACCGTATTTCATACAAAAAGGCAAAAAAAAATCAATAATATCAAATTTCAATTGATAGGAATTTTTATGAATAATTTCAATAAAGTTCACAGATTTATATAATTTTCTTGCATATATATATCATATATAATATATTATATATAATAACGCCTCTTAAAATTTATTTTCCACCTTCTAATAACTTAAATCAACAATTTTCCAATTCTAAAAGCAAATATCAACAGGATAGAATATAGAATTTGACTATTTTTTTAAAAAAGCCTATATATAAATGTGTGTATGTGCGTGTGTATACGCCTAAATAACATAGTATATTTGTTATTTAAAGATTTATTCAAACAGTAAACTATGTTAGTTGAAAGAGGAAAATTTGGATATTTTCTTTTTTCTTACGTGAGTTATTCACTGTTTTTACAGTCTTTTGCAGAGAGATATGAATGATATAATGAAACTTAATTGAATTCTTCGGAAATGATTATGTATAATAATTATAAATAAACAAGATATAGAGTAAGCTTACATTGATCATATAAATCTTCTATGAAAATATTCACTATAGATTGTAATTAGATTGAAGAATGTTAAAGATAGAAGTATACAATACCCTTTTTCGATAACCTGCACCCTTCAATCAGTGCCCTCTATCGTCGAAACGTAATCAAACAAATCCATCGACTCAAATCGAGCGCATTTTTCCTGAGATATTTGCCTTTCGCCGTTCAGAAATATAGATATAAAAACATATTTTGCTAAATATAAACTTCTCAACAATGAAATTTAAACAATGCTCCTAATTTGCATAATCTTCCTAAAGCTGATATTATGCAATTCTCTAATTTGCCCGGAATATTGTTTTTGCTTTTCTCATGGTTCTCATCTAGTAGCCTGCAATGACAAGAATTTGACTGTAATTCCTAAAATTCATAAATCTGTGAATGAACTCTATCTGAGAGGAAATAACTTTAAGAGGATAAAAAAGTTTGATTTTAAGAAATTTACCTCTTTAACAACATTAGATTTAAGGAAATCTGGAATTAAGCATATCGATTCGGATTCTTTCAGAGGATTAACTCTAAATTATTTGGATTTGAGATATAATCAAATCAGTCGGATATTAACTAACACTTTCACATCATTAAGGTGCGAAAACTTGAAATTAGATTCAAATCTTATTGAACAGCTCCAAGCTCGCTCATTTTATAGAGCGAATATAAAAAATTTAAGCCTAACATCAAATGGATTAACATTCGTTAATCCAGCAGCATTCCAGAAGTGTCGGGTAGAAAATTTGTTGTTGAGGAATTGTTCGATTCGATCTACAAGTGTATTGAAAGCGTTAAAAACAAGTTTGAAAAGATTCGAGTGGTCCTATTCAAAACTTCCGTTAATTCTAGACGATAATTCTTTTGAAGGATTTAACCTCAATTTCCTAAATCTAACTGGAAACGGTATTATTCAAATTTCTTTCCTGAAACAATTACTCGTTAAAGTAAATCAAAGAGAAAAGTCTCCTAACTATTAAATAATTATCATATTTCAATCGATCATTTAATTTTATAGGTTAGTCGAGAGTTTAGATATTTAGAAAAGAAATCAATTATTTTCTTAACTTATTCATTTAGTTATTTATGGATTTATTATTTTTAAGCTAGTTTCACAAACAAGACATTAACAGCTATCTATTGTATAATATTTTAATAAGAGAGAAAGGTAGATAAACTCTTTATTATGTAAAAAAATTACATTTAAAAGTAAGATATTATGATTAAAAATATGTTTAGTGGCAATACTTTTAACAATGACAGTTGAAAATGTTTTCTATCTAAACACTTTTAGAAGAAGATTTCATATATTGAGTTAAAAAAGGAGGAGATAAAAGATATTTCTTAAGAAGTTTCTCTATTATTAGTTATTTATATCTTTTATCAGTTGATCATTAATCTACGTCTTGATATATTTCTCTTTTATGTATACTGTATATACAGTATATATATAACCCTAACGACTGGAGAATAATTAATCTATATAGGTTATTAAATAGCTAGAAAGGAGAAGGACTATATTATGTTCTTTAAAGAATTCGAGCAATTGTAAGACGGAAGTATCCCTTCGGGGCTCATACTATGAAAATATAAATGTGGATTACTCGAAAAAGGAGTTAGCTATTTTGTTTTTTTTTTAAAAGCTGTTGTTCGATTTTATAGTTATCCATAAGGATAGGAAAATATCCGTCTTGAGGGATCTATATTTATCCTTAAATCGAGTCCAGAGTTTAATGTTTATCGTATCTAGGACAAACGATTCCAGTAACTATATAAATTTCTTTGTGTATAAGAAAAGTAAACAAAAATCTTAAAGTTATGAACTACAATGAAAAGCCAAGATAATATCCTATCATTGTACTTTTACATTTTACTCTTAAAGAATAACTCTAGTCAAATATTGGAGAATTACTTATTCAAATTCTTCATTCTCTGGCATAAAATTAATTAATTCCATTTCGAACACTTTCGATCGATATTTACCGAAATAAATTTTTTTATTCTAGTAAATTCCAAACTCAATAGGAAACAATTTTTCTTATATGCTCTATGTACGTAATCGATAATCCAAAGTATAAATAAGAAGGTATATAATTTACTCTATAAAGCATATCCGAAAAAAGAGAAAAGAGATTGGGTCAATCTGTCAATTTTTATTCTTAACTCTTAGCTTGTAGAGGTTAAGCAATTGATAAAAAAAAGGAAAATATTAAATATTTCACACTTTCTATTTCACTATCTACAATTCTCTTTATATAAAGTTTATAATTTTCATTTATTTTAAATAAGACAAAGAGTTATGAAAGAAAATTTCATATAATGCTCCTATTAGTAATAAATAAATAATCCATTACACAAATAAATTGTCAAACTTGCTATATTATATTAGCTCTTGTCGCCTTTCTCTTTAAAAAGAAAATAAATTATGATTTTTATGAGACTTGATTTACTTTAAGGAGCTAATCCTCGATCATAACCCTATTGGATCACGTGATATATCTAAGTACGGATTGAAAAATCTTGGGAAATTAAGTCTTGTTAATACCTCATTCTCCTTCCCTATTTCTACATTTTTCAGAGGATTACCTAAATTGAAATCCTTGTATCTGGATGGAAATCGGATCACTTCTTTACGTCCTAGCATACAAAACCTTTTCAACAGATTACACATCTTTTCCATAAGGTGGAATCAGTTGCACTGTAATTGCGAAATTAAATGGCTTAAAAAGGTCATTAAAACCTCTAAGGCTAGAATAGTAGGTGCTAGGTGTTTTGTGAATAAAACTTTTTCCGAGGGACTATCAAGTGCAAAATATTCATGCCATAAGCCAAATATTGAAACTATTTCTCAGGATCTCACTGCAAAGTCGGGAACAACAGTAAAATTACTATGTAACGCATGGGGTGATCCATCTCCTATGGTCACGTGGTGGCATCCCAACGGAAAAAAGATTAGTGCTGCTCCGAATGGAGATAGGAAAAATTTTTATACTAAGAACCAACTAATTCTTAAGAATGTTCACATATCACATGCTGGAACTTTTAAATGCGTTGCATCAAACATAATTGGCAGTTCCGCCTCAAACGTTACAATTCACGTTATAGTAATTAAAAGAAAAGTTTCTTATGATCAGGCAGTGTCATCTGGTGGCTCTACTTTCTACCAGTCAATCCTATGGCTCTCAATCTACGCAATAATTCTGTTAAAATAGAAGGAAAATAGTTAATTATTGAAAAAGTCATAATATATGTTGTGAAAAACTGTTTTAATTGTAAGAGAATTCAACTTTTATATATAGGCTTAATATTTTTCAATATTTACAAAATGTATACTACATAAAGATATGTCTACGTGCATTTGTCTCGTAAACTCTACACAGATATTGTATACAGATAAATATATACAGTGTTGAATTTGTAACTATCACATCTTTTAAAGATGATATCTGTCATATCTACGTTTAGAAAAGTTTAATTAAATATTTATGATATTTTATAGTAACAGTAATAATTGAAAAAGAGATAAGATATTTTTCCATTGGAGAATAAGTCACTGTATCATGAAACATTAGCCTATATAGAAAGAAAAAAAAAAGAATTATATTAGCATGACCTTTCGCTAATTAATAACGATTTATTCAACTCGCATATACCGATAGCGATCACTTTAAAAGAACGATTTATTACTTGCTAATAGATGAATTGAATAAGTTTAGCCTTGAGAAACACTTTTGTTTAATTTATTAAATTCACAGGGATGATGATGACGTTATTTTTCTTTACAGAAAATGTCTAGCTATTAGATTAAGAAAAGGCTAGTTTATTGGGGAAAGAAGGTTAATTCATAACAGCTAGTAACCAGCTATTTGCTATTCATTTTTAATTAACATATAAATGTTATATTACTGGATAAAAGTTCCTTTATCAGAATATCTTTAAACATTATTTACATCGCTTGTGCTGAAATGTTAACGCATTTTATGTTTAAACACCGACACATACAGAAGATATTATGGTAACAAGTGCTAAAACTAGATTCAACCTTAAGCCTATTGTTTTCATGAAAGCAAATGTTGCATATTTAAATAGTTTCTTTCATATAAGTTAATAAAAACTATACAAAAAGAAGACATTAATTATTCTAATGAACCTAAATAATAATAAACCGACCCATTGTTGTCACATAATTAATTCATTAGACAAAAGGTAGCGTTGCAATTGTTTAGTTTTTTCTGTTTTGAGCAACAGCAAAATATGAACAAATTACCCTTAGTCTTGATTAAGCATTTCTTTTAATATGGATTAATTGCTCTCTAATAAAAGATTTTCCTTGTATTTAAAATCGGATTAATCTAATACTTTCCAAAATGTTTATTCAACTTCTTTATATACTTGGATCATTCTACTATACAACAGGTAAACAGAGTAACGAAAAAAGTTAGCTAATATTAAGGCTACGACTTTTATCTTCTTTTATATATTAAATTTTATAATCTTCTTTATATAACGATCATCTGATATATTGACTTTTTAAAAGCCTTATGGTCAGAATGGAACGCTTGGAGTTCATGTAGTTCTAGCTGCGGCGGAGGAATTTTATTAAGAAATAGAACGTGCCTTTCTGAACCTTGTACGGGTAATGATATCGATGTAGGTTTCTTAATTTGTTTATTTCTTTTACTTTTATTCCTAGTTTTTAATATTTTTTGACAGAATGAACCCTGCTCATTTAATCCTTGTAGAGAAAAAGGATCTTGGAATAACTGGAATCCTTGGTCTCCTTGTTCGGCAACTTGTGGAGGTGGAAGTCAATCAAGAATTCGAAGTTGTAATGTACCGACAAATGGAGATTATTGCGTGGGTAGTGAAAAAGACATGCAAAGTTGTTCAACACAAAATTGCCCAAGTAATTATTCATCAGCTTTTTTTATCTCTCTTTTCTGAACAGTTTTTGTATTATTAACTCTTTACATATTAGTCAACGGCCAGTGGTCATCTTGGTCTGAATTTGGGGATTGTTCCACAACCTGTGGCGGTGGAACAAGAACAAGAAAACGATTTTGTAACAATCCAGCCCCAGTTGATGGGTTGGATTGTCCTGGTATTGGTACAGATTTTGTTGCTTGTGCTACTAATAATTGTCCTGGTATGAAACTTTCTATAATTTTTTTTAGTTTAAACTTTTGTAATATTTTAAATAACTCATTATACAGCCAGTGACGTAGTTAATGGTCAGTGGGGACCGTGGAGTCTCACAACAACATGTTCAAAGACATGCGGATCAGGGATCAGAACTCGAAAACGATCGTGTACTAATCCAGCACCAGCAAATGGTGGTAGCTCATGCAAAGGGGATCCTATTGAAGAAAATTTGTGTGAAATAGCAAAATGTCCTGTAGATGGATCATGGAGTCTGTGGAGTATATGGAGTAGCTGCAGTTCTAGCTGTGAAGGAGGAAATCAAATTCGTCAGAGGTTTTGTAATAACCCTGCAACAGCCTACGGAGGCACTCCTTGTAATGTCTCCACAACAGTTGAAAGTGAAACGCAGCTTTGTAATAATCATACGTGTCCCAATGTAGATGGATTATGGGGAGAGTGGAAAGTTTTAACAGTTTGCTCTAGAACTTGTAACGGGGGTCAAAGAGTCAGATTTAGGAAATGTAATAATCCAGCTCCGCGTAAGTTAATTGATTAAATTAAAAAAAACTCGTAAATAGAACAATATCTTTAAAAGTGAATAGCGGTCGAATCTGTCCATTTGGAGATGCCAATCAACTTTCAACTCAAACAAGATACGTTGGTTGTAATTTATATCCATGTCCAAGTAAAACTGATTTTTCAATATAGTTAAATTATATAGCTAATTGTGAATTAAAATAGAACATGGTGGATGGTCACTGTGGTCCACGTGGACTTCCTGTACTGCTACGTGCGGATCTGGAACGCAATTTAGGCAAAGATCTTGTAATAATCCTACACCGTACTTTGGCGGACTTTATTGCAAAGGTGATCATAATGAAACAACGCCCTGTCAAACTGCTACAGAATGTTCAAGTAAATAAATACTTGATGTTTCAAACTAAGTCTTAAGAGGTTTTTTCATTTTGTTAGCTGATGGTGGATGGTCAACTTGGGAAGCTTGGTCAATGTGTAGTAAAACATGTGGATTAGGTGTAACAACTAGAATAAGAAAATGTGATAACCCAACACCTCAAGGTCTTGGAGCTCAATGTTCGGGCAATAGTACAGAGTCAGATGATTGTACTGTGATTAAGTGTCCAGCTACGGATGGTAAATGGGGTCTATGGTCTGCTTGGAGCAATTGTGATAAAACTTGCGGTGAACATGGCCTCAAAGTAAGAATTAGGTAAGATATTATGAAAAATATTTTCTTTAAAGATCTTCTTTACTGTTGACATATGTTACAGATCTTGTAATAATCCGAGTCCGTCTGCTGGGGGCAAGTATTGTTCGGGCAAAGGCACGACTGTAAGAAATTGTACCTTTGTACCTTGCCCAAAGACTAATTCAGACGGAAAATGGGCTGACTGGTCAATTTGGTCATGGTGCTCAAAATCTTGTGGAGGTGGTCAGATTACAAGATCAAGGTTATTTATTGATATCATTTTTATATGATATTAAAAAAATAAGTTATTACAGGACTTGTACAGACCCAGTACCTTCGGGTAAAGGAAAAGCATGTGATTATAGCAAGTCATTTAATGGAAACCTTGTTCCAGTTGATAGGCAGACTGAAATTAAAGAGTGTGCTAAACAAAAGTGTCCTGGTTCGTTACTAGATTCTCAATGACGTTTAATAATAGAAATAAATGTTAATTAAATTCTAATATATTTTGTTACAGTTGATGGACAGTGGTCTGAATGGGCTGTCTGGTCTCGATGTAGCGTATTATGCGGTGCTGGTGAGAAAACACGGAGACGGGCATGCGATAACCCGAAACCTATAAATGGTGGGAGAAGTTGTAAAGGAGCTGGTGACTACTCTGATGCAGAGATACAAACGGTCTCTTGTCAAGGTTCCTGTCCTAACAATGAAAAAACTACAACAAAACTCCCTCCTGGGAAAACAAGTATTAATAACTTTTTATCTAATAATTTCATAAATAAATGTAATGTATCTATACACAGATCCACCGTTTTGTAAAAGAGAAGAGGCGTACGATAATAAATTTTGGCCACAAACTGATGTTGGCAATGTAGCTGAATTACCTTGTCCTTCTCCTTTAATTGGTTGTGTATATTGAAAAGTTAATAAATTATTTCTTCATTAACATAATTCTATTAACTAGGAGCTGTAAGTCGACAATGCATTGGGCCTAATAACTGGAAAGATTTTGATCAATCGAATTGTCAAGATCAATCATTCAATAACGTCTTACATAATGTAACGAATTTATAGTAGTACAGTAATGTATATTCGATAACTCTTTCATAATTTACTTTACAGGCTTACTACGTCTCTGGAAATGATAGTTTGAGATTAACAGTAATGAAAGGATTTACTGATTTGTGCATTCCAGTGAATATAAAGCAATCTGGAGATATAATAGCTTGCAAGCAAATATTTCAAACTCTATTGTCTATAAATTTCTTAACTGATTCAGCTGAAACGGCATTGGAAAAGCAGAATTACATTGATGTAAGTAGCATCTATACAAAATTATTAATACGGTATAGTTAAAATAGTCCTGTTTTTTATATTTTCTTAGTCATTATTAACTGGATTGAGTGGAATATTTCACAAGAATAATAAAAAACAATGGGATGATCTAATTCAAGTACAACTATTAATATTTCTCTATTTAGTAATTATTAAATAATTATAAATTGAATTCTTTTCTCACAGAATGAGAAATATGATAAGTCCAATGTTTTACTAGAATTAACAATACTCGCTGAAGAATTTGGAGAACAATTACAGAAATATTTAATTGAAAAATCACAAACTACTTGTCTTAAAAAAGATTCACTTGGTAAGCAATTACACTAACTCAGATGTAGCATTAGAAGTCATGGGTAAAAATATAGATCACGTTTTCTTTCTTAGAAATGTGTATTGAGTTATTGCCTTGTGCTGATTCTTGGAGAAGTCCGGAAAAACCTCCAACACCAACTCCACCGGCAAAGCATATAAGGGGTGGTTATAAGTTACCCTTACCTGAAAGAATTACTCACATATCACTAGGAAAAACATTTCTAAATGATTACACATGTTCGAAAAGCAATATTAGTGCTCCTGAAAGATTATACGGAATAACAATTGCTTATAAATGGCTTCATCTTTTTATGCCAAACGAAAAACACGAAGTTGTATCTGCTGATTTAAAAGATTATATTACTACTCAGAAACCAACTGACCCGTGAGCCAATTATTCTAATGATTTCATCTTTATAAAATTCATTCTTTATTTATCCTTTAAAATAGTCCTATTCAAAACACGAGAGTAGTTAATTCAGAAATGATAAGCTTCAAGATTGTTTCCGCCTTATCAAACACTCACGTTTTCACTAAAAAGATCCAAATTCAACATTTCTTAGAAACGGTAATTAAACAATTGTTTGAACATTTATATTTCTATCAATAAGTAACTTTTTATATAGAAAAGTCGAGATCCTATCTGTATATTTTTAGCGATTAATAGGGCGCAACAATTGTTTGGAACTGAAGGTTGTCACATTGTAAGTCAGGGTAAAGAAGATGGAAGATATTATGTAACATGTCAATGCAATCATACAACAACGTTTGGTGTTTTATCTAAACCTGGAGTAGAAACAATATCTACTGAAAAATCTTTCAGTTCAGATCCTCTTATTCTATTCACAGTTGCAATGGGCTTGATATTCATGGTGATTTGTGTAATTATGTACTTTTTATTAGGGTAAGTTCAAAACGTGATTAATTAACATATTTAATACATTTTTTTTATAAAAATGAATAGTATATTTTTATCTAAACATTTCTACATTTTGAATAATATGGCTTTTGCTAATGGAATGGCTTGCGCAGCCATTTGCTTTGGAAGCTGGACAACGGATTATGAGGTAATATTAAAATAATAGTAAAATCCAATAAAAAGAGGAATTATAGAATTAAATTTGTAATAAATACTTCCATGACAATTAAATAATTTTCTTATTATAGGAAGCTTGTTTATTTATAACATTTATGACGCATTGGGGATCTTTGGCCTCCTTTTTTTGGTTAATGGCACTTTGTATTTGGATGCACAATCAAGTATCTATTTTACTTATTAATTACTTCGTTTATAGTTGGAATATTTTTTTTAAATTATAATAGTTACGGCCTACCAACACTGAATGGGGTAAATTGTTGCAACTATTCACCTGCTGGCTAATTCCATTCTTTTCTGCTCTTTGTGCAATTTTAATGAATGAGAATAAATATACAAGTAAAAAATTGTAAGTTATCTATATAAGAAGAATTATATTTCAACATCTCTAAAATTTTTTGAATTATATTTAATATATTACTTTTTAAGTGAATTTATATCATATTTTATAGCTGCTGGATGGAAGCTGAACATGTAATTTCAACTTCTTATTTTCTACCAATTGGATTATTGAATTTGGTATAGTTGATTGAATTTTAAAAAGTATAGATTATCTAATTATTTCGCACTTTTAGATTTGCTACGTTCTTCTATTACTTACCTATCGTATTATGAAGGATGCTAATAATGAAAATTCCAATAGAGTTGCCCTACCTATGGATTTGGATTTCCAATATATACTGTAATTAAAGAAATATTATTAAACTTGTATTTAACCTATTAAAATCTTATATTTTTTATTAAAAGGCAATTATTTATGAAGACTGTCATCTCTTTAATACTATCAACTGGAACGTGGTTGATTTTCCCGTTTTTTATTCCAGTAGCGTTTTTTGTACTTGGAAATTTAAATGTAAATTTAATAGATTCTAAAACTATAATTATTATTGACATTTTATTGTTTTATAGTTTCTATACTTTATCTTGGCTTATACTATCGGGGATTTAAGATTTCGACAAGCTACAAAACGACGAGCAATCAAACTACACGTAAATCATTTTTTCTTTCTTAAAAGTAGTTGATTAAAATACATGTTATATTAACAGCAATTAGCAACTAAAAAGAAACAGGAGGAGAAAATAGCATCATTACCTAGCTGGTTAAAATCTCAGAAGGAGAAGGCTCTTGAAGAAAAAAGAAAAGGAGCAGAGGTATATACTCAAAATATTAATCAATTTATTTAATTACTATTCAATTTTTTATAAATTAAATAAGTTTTAAGAGAATAGGATTATAAAGAGTGCGCTTATACATTCTTAAACGATTAAAACGAGCTAATTCGTTAATAATTATTACAAGATAAAAACTATAAATTCAAAAATTTACTATTGTAAAGCAGAATTTATTTATAGACTTTGAGAGATTGAGATTTTAAAAGATTTTGTGTTTAATAACTACTTCAACAATCTTAATCTGTTAAGTAAATTATCATAATTCTATTAAATATTTTTAGATTTTTATGAAAAGTAGTTGAAGTTAAATCATTTTTTTTTAATTCCTTGTCTATTTAAAGAATTTTTTTTCTTATAATGCACAGCCACAGCTGAATAATAAATAGCAATGTATTCAATACGCTTGAAAAATAGATATCTTGCGGCCTTATTTATAATGAAATTTATAATATTTGTGTAAACGCCCTTAAATACAATCTAAAATTATATACAATATATATATATATACATAGATATACTAATATACTAATATGTAGAGAGAAGAGAGAGAAAATATAAGATAAAAATCGATATAGTCTTCCACATAAAAAATAAATTTGTTCAATTTTTAGGAATTAATTAATAAAATAGAGTCGAAAGCGGATATTGAACAGAGAAGAATAGCAATTATTAAAAAGATGCAAATGAAAAAAGAAGCTCAAGATAATTTTGCTAATAAAATAGAAAGAGAAACTAGCGACAAAGATGATGTTTATGAAAACAGTGAAATTGGAAAGGGAAAGATAGCTACAAAACACGCTTGAACGAATAAAACAGCTATAATTATTGATTTATTTTACTGCTGTGTGTATTTTTGCTTCCTTTGTATCAAATAAACACCTCCCGCTTGAATGATGTCATAAAATAAAAGTAATTGCAATACGCTATTCAAGTAAATACAGAAATTTGACAAAAGAATCTTAACTAGTATCAGTAAAAAATTCATTTAAAATCTTATTTTAAATAAAATTAGTCATTGAAAATAATTTTCCAAGTTTTAAGATTCTCTAAAAAAGTATTCGGTAGATGGCACTGAATGAATTAAAATGGTATTGACAATACCACTTGTATGCTTTTCAATATCAATCCTTTTTGTAAATTTTTACCGGTATAAGTAAAGCCGAATTCAACCGTGTACGAGTCTTTCAAGACCGATAAAGAGTTTTCTCTTCCGCGTGTGAAATCGAAACTTTGAACGCAAAATCCTCTTCAATTAATTATCTTCCAAGCGTTTTATTTTTGTAGCGAATATGACTTCGGCAGATTCTGTTGATGCAAAAGTCAAAGAAGAGATATCAGCCGTAGATCGGGATACATCTGACGACCATCCCTCTTTACACGATTTAGAAAAAGTGGTTGAAAATTATGAGAATAACCATCACTTCGGAAGCGGTGAGATATCTCAGCTAGAGCAATCATACAGCAGACCTGACTCTTTGCAAGAATCACATAGAGAATCGATACTCAGAGATGAAACATCTACATTTAGAGATTCCAGAGCTGAATCTTTTCCACCTGTTCCTGATTTTATTCACATGGAAACTATAAATAGTCCTGAACAAAACATAGAAACGTCGGTTCAACAGCAGTCATACACTGTAAATACTAGGGCCTCAATAGAATCGCCCTGCACTTCAAAACATTCGTCTACAAAAGAATTAAACAATACACTGGAATCTGAAAGAAGACTTCAGGAAGAGGCCACTTATGAAGCTAACAATAACGAAAAGGCCGAAGCAGAAAAGAAGAGACATTCGGGATTATATGATGGATATACTCAAGATATTATTGAACAGAATACTCTTGAACTAGGACCAGACATGCCTAGAGGTGAAACGGAAGATTCATCACCTGAGGCTACAAAAAAATCTAACGCACATAACTTTAGTTGTAAGAGACTCTGTTGCGGTTTCATTGTTATTTTCATAGGCATAGCGATCGGCTTAGGCGTTTCCCTCGGCTTAAAAGGTAGATATTACACTGTATGCTATATAGTTATTTTCATGTAATTGGTAATAGATAATGAATCGTGCATACACTATTCATAAAATGAAATCTATATTTAGAGTCTAAGTCGAAAAAAGAGTCCTCCACTTCTCCCCAGAAAAGTAAACGTAAATATGGTTTTTTATTTTCAATTCCTTGGCCATAAACTACTAACTGCGCTTGATGTAATTTTTAGAAGGCATATTTATTTTCAACGGGAATGCTACTATTCAAGGTGAATTTGGATTGAGTTATGATACGACTAAAGATCAAAAATTTATAGCTGAGTTTTGTGGCTTAGTAGGTTATTTGAGTTATGCTAAATTTCTATTAATAATTAATTCTGATAGGTTGAAGGCATTGAATCAAAAAATTACAGGAATGTCAAGTGTCAAGTGACAGATATTACTAAAGGCAGCGCTATTGTTTCTTTCTTATTACAAATTATATCATCACATAATGATGGTGCTAAATTTGGGAAAACATTGGAAAACGTATTAAAAGAAGAATTTAAAGAGTCTAATATGAATCGAGTATCATTTGCAATTACCTTTGTAGAAATTAAAAATATTCAAACGTCTAAAAAACCTAACACAACACCGACTACAAAAAGTATCCCTATGGCAACGAGCTCTCACACGACATCGCTAACAGAAAATACTCCAGCTCGAACTAAACCGATGATATCGGTAAACCCGACCAGTTTAATGTCAACAGAGCAAACAACGCAGAAAAAATGTATACTATATTCAATTTCATATTTTTTGCAGATCATACAAAAACTCTATTAATTAATTTTTAAAACTACAGCCGAATTTACATTTAGAATTGAATCTCTATCTCGAAACTTGACAGAAGTGATCCCTTTAAGAAACTCATCATTTTTCGAACATATGAAAGCTTTAGCTGAAAAGATACCTAAATTTAAGTAATATTAATCTTATGAGTGATAATTTCATTCCGTTTCAAACCGTTTTATTTTTTGAAAAATTAGTTTTACTTACAAGAAGACGTGTGAAAAAGGAATTGTGTTGAAAACTATTCTAGATAATACATCAGGAAATGAAACTCGATGGCTGTTTTTAAAGAGAAACTTATCAGACTATTGCAAAATGCCATTTGGAAAGTATTTTTAATTTTTTAAAAGAGATTTCTATTGCAGTTAGGTTTAAGCCAATATAGATTTTAAATGATCTTTAATAATTTATATTTAACCTTACAGATGTTTCTAATTATATACCTAGACGAAATGATAATTTAATATTAAAATATGCTGACAATAATTCGAAAAATTTTCAAGATTGCAAACTACAAGGATTTCAACCGGAATTTAATTTGTTAAATGGCATAGAGACTAAAGTTAATAGGAGTGTTAACACGACTGTAGTTATAGAAATAACAAATTATACGCAGAATTATACCTATTCATTATCTACCAGTGAAAATACTCAAAAGCCTAGTTTTATTGGTAAGTTAAAATATCTGTAATTTAAAACAAGAAATTAGTTTACATCTAACAACGTTATACTGTATATGTACTTTTTCTATTGTATAAAATTAGATGATACGTAGTTCTGCTTTGACGTGTTATTATTATACCGTATAAAATGTAATAATATTCATCTAATATTTTACAGATAATACATTCACAGTTAAAAATCTAGATGCAAACAAAAGATATGAATTTAAAATTCAAGCTAAAAATCAATACGGATATGGACCTTTTACATGCTTGGTCGTATGACTATAGTTTATAATAACAATGAAATATATATATATATATATATGTATATGTATATGTCGTATATGTAATTTTCTAGCCTGTTGATATTCTTCCATTTTTGCCATATTTAACAAATATGTTGGTTTTTTGAATACTTTTCATATTCTTTATTATATAAATTAATAAACTAAAATGAATGGGAATCAAGGTTTTACACAGCTAAAGCAATTGCAACGTATTCAAATTAGATAGGTATATTTATTAGTATTTTATTTAGAAATATATTTAGAGATAAATATAGAAGTATAATAAACAATTTATAAATTTATATTAAAAACTTATTAGATTACTTATAGAATAAGGTGTTTATCAACTGAAATAAGCATTTAAGAGTACTTTTAACATTTGATTACTTGTTTAAGTAATGAAATTTGAGTTCTTTTCATCAAAAGAATATCTTTAAAATTTCAGAATTGTTAGGTATTTTAACAGTTACTATTTTAATATTTATAAGGTATATTGATTTTTTGTTTATAATTAGATTGAAATTGGCAATGTGATAAAAACAGGTGAAAAAATAAAACTTTTCATTTGATTTAACAGCTAAGCACAATATGTATACATCTTGTATATTTAAATAGATATTTATATTGCATGTATATGGCATAGTAGAGTGTATGATTGTATCTGTTCTCTTCATCTTAGTTCATTAACATTCTACGCCTTCTAGAATTTCTTAACAGTAATATCTTCCAAAATATCTGGTAGGTCAAGAGTTATCGTTTGATGAGTTAAGGGATTTTTAGATTCACTTTCACCTTTATTCGATAAATCGCTATTATCTATTTCTTGCTTCTCAATACGTTCTTCTATATTCTCATCAGTTTTGATGTTCACGTCAGATTTTTCGCATAATTTCTCATCGTTCTTTACATTAGTTCGCTTTTCGTCATTTACCGTTTTTCCAGAACAGTTATTCTTTTCAACTAGCTGAACACTCTTATCTACAGATTCAATACTACCCTCTTTTCGATTCAGTTTTGCCCTCGCTTGCTTTGGAGTATCTGAACCTTCCTTATTTTGACCCCTTTTAATTATAGAAAACTTATTAGTAAGTCTATTTGCCAAATTTCTGGCTCGTCTTCCAGGAGTAAGCTTCTCTGCCGGTTTTATATTGAAAGAAGTTATAATATTTCCTTTTAAAAGAATTTCATCAATCATTTTGCCAAAGATCAAGATATCTCTTTGCATTCTCCATTTTGCAATATCTAACTTAGGATATTCTGATCCGCAGACGAGATCGACATCTTTTATTGCTCCCTGGTAAAAGATATACAAAACTTCAATTTGTATTATTACTTTATGCCTAGATGATTATTGTTTACGTAAATCGGACACGTGTAGAATATACTTCGATACAATTATGGAAATGATAAGTATTATTTTTTAATGATTAAAAAGTATCACCTCAAAATCTGTAACAATCATAAGACAGCTTAAATCCGACTTGTCGCAGACTTGTCCTTGTTTATGCATATGACAAATATTCCACATTGTATGGGTTGCTATAAATAATAGCTCCTTAGATTTTAATTCCATTTTTTCCTCCAAGAAATCGGGTAGAGTTTTATAGAGACGTCTTATTCGTTTAGAAGCACCACCCGCTCTTCTAAACACACTAAACGTTTTACCTTTAAGAAAAGAAATTGAAAATAAAATCATTGGTAAAAACATATGAATCATAAAAAAAACTTACGAGTAAACATGTCTTTCATTGCCATCCTAAAATAAAAACCAATTGAACAAGAATATTAAATTTAAAGCAGACACAATAGATGTAAAATTATGCATACCTCATTTCTATTTGATCCACTATTATGTAAGTCATAGCACATACGAAAGTAACAATGGGAGGTAACATGGGAAGTATATATGGATAAATCACGTTAATTTCATTAATCTTTAAAAGTGTAAAGCCTATGATAAAAGATGAACTTTATTAATAACTTTAGAGAATTTTTCTAAGCAAAGATCGCACCTAAAATAGAGTATATTAGAGTTATAAATGAGAAAGCTGTGCATATTATTGTAAATGAAGCAACTATTTCAATATCGTTAGACTTCATTTCGAATACTGCTCCCTTCCAGAGGTTATAGACGTTTTCATCATCTTTAATTATTTTAGCTTTTTCTTTCAATCCTTTTCGAATTGTCAAGATATTTTTCAATCGTAGAGAAGCGGTGCTTATTATTAAAATAAAGTTTATTACACAAGTCAAGAGAGATAAACTAGGAACGAAAATTAAGCCAAAATTGAACATTTCGCTTTTTTTATCTAGTAGAAAATTAATCGGTATACAGAGAGCGTCAATATCAACAAAATAGTTTTCTAATTTTCCTTTTCCAGCAATAACTGCGCCAAAAATTCCTATTCCTAACAACCAAATAACGACATATGTAGTTCTTAACGTTTTCTTTACGAACTTTAAATCTTTCAAAAGTCCTAATGGAACCGCCAAAGAATAACCACCGACAAGTATACTGTTTAGCAGACTTGAGACATGTCCAACTAAATAGAATGTTGAAGCCGCCTTACAAATTATAGATGATGTAATTTCAAATTTAGTATTTATTCTTGAATTATTTACTGCAATGCTGATATCTTGGATAATGTAAGAAAATGAGATTAACAGCAAAGATACAAAAAAATGTACCATTATCAACTTTTGTATTTCATCACTCTCAATTTTGAAAGAATAAGATATGGCTCCTATAATAGCTAATAATGAGAATACTGATACAACTATAAGTGATTTCCTCAGTGATGTAAGTTTTAACGCATTACTACAAGTTGATAATTCAGTTTCCATTGGTGAACAGTTTATCTGATCAGTATTCTTGTACTCTTTTAGCTTACAGCAAAAAGCATAGTGAGGTAGTTCAATGTCTCTAAGAGATTCAAAATCCACAAAGTGATCAACGCTTAGCGTTGTAATCTTAGTGTTAGACAGCTTTAAAGTAACTAATTCGTTAAATTTTTGGCTAGTTGAAAAATCAATCGATCTTATATTTGTATATGACAAGTCTAAAAAGTTCAAGTTTGCCACGCTATAAATGTGACTGTCTTCAATACTTTCCAACGGATTGTGCGACAAGTCCAAAGTCTTTAAATTCAGTAGGATTTCTAGACTGTTCGCATGTAATCTCTTAATTTTATTATGAGATAGATTCAAGTGCAGTATATAGACCAATCTTGATTGTTTTGATTTTCCCATTTTATTTGTAATATTGGATTTAAACCATTCACTTTCAACAGTTTCTAGTGCATTGAAAGACATATCAAGAGCTTTTACTTCTTCATGCTTCTCAGAGTAAGCTGGTATTCTTTTGAGATTTAGATTTGAACAATTATGGAAAGCCATATTGCAATTACATAAGCTTGGACACTCTAACTCACAATGCATTTCGTCATCATCTAATTCGCCGCAATTGTGGTTATTATCGCAAACTTCTCTAACGTTAATGCATTTTCCATTACCGAGACATCTATATCTACCTCTACATGTGTTAGCTATTTGAAAATAAAGTAAATATATGAAATATAATAAGACTGGAATATGCAAAAATGCGTATATAAATGCCGTATATACTGAATATACAGTACATATATACTGTATATCATATTTATACGTACGGTCATTGTCCGGTCGAACAGGACGATATCGCGTTTGCTTTTCTATAAAACCTAAAAGATGATCTAATTTCAATATATTTTATCAACCTCTATGACGTTTTATTAATTATTTCTAGTTGTATTAATCAGTATACTGTATTTGGGATTGGAATAAGTCATACGCTTTGTTCAACTAATAGAGTATCTTATAATAGACTACGAAAAGAGAAGAAGAGATAAATTTTATCTTACCACCATAGTGATAAATCTTTATACATTTTGCATCATTTTTAACACAACCTGAAATATGAATTTATATAATTTATTATACATATTTTTTAAATAGAACTGCTAATAAGCTTACATTTTTCATCGGCAGATCCTTGACAATTTCTAATATTGTCACAAGCAAGTATATTTGATATACACAAGTTTTTTCCACATTTAAAGTTTCTCAATGTATCGTCGCATTGGCCATCTTTAGATGGAAACAGTTAAAAATGGGAGTCAAATTGAAAAAAACCTTTCTATCATAAAACTTACCACAGTTTTCTTCATCGCTATTATCTTTGCAGTCTTTATATCCATCACAGACGAAAAAATTTCGTATATATTCTGATGAAGTTTTACATTTAAAAACTGTCTTTGCTTTTATAAACTGTACATGATAAAGAATTGTTAAACAAAAAGTTAAGGGTAGAACTTTCTTGTTCATTCTTCGGACTCGAATGATGGTTAGAAAAGTTCTTTGTAAATTTATGTTTCGTAGGCAGTGGTAAGCGATTGGTTAATAGAAAGCAAAAAAAAATGAGAAAATTTAAATATGGTTTTTCAACAAGTCACGTAAGTCGTGATTAATTTTATTCAAGACTCATTGCTGATCTAGTAGTAAGTTCTAGAGAAGCCTAATTAAAAAAAACTACGTTTGAGGATTCAATTACATTATTTAATGTTACATTTTGTGTATATATATATATATATATATTCTAATTAAAACGTTTATTTCTGATAATTGATAAACATTGAATAAATTTGCATATATTAAAATTTGTATTATAAAGTATCCTTTTTTTCGTTTAGAAGAATATTAAAATTTACTGAATTTAAAACTGACAAGTAACTCGAAAATATGACATGACTTTGTATTATTGCATTTTCTCCGTCATTGAATATAGCTGAGTATATGCTTTTTATTCTATCTTTTTTTTTTTACATGAACCTTTCCTTTTTTCTTTATAAATGTTAACATTATAATTATAGACCAAGCATATTTCATTTTCAATTTTCTCTTCGAGGAGGACAATATTCTTAAGGAAATTAAAAGAAGAGGAAAAGCTCATTATCTTTTTTTATGTAACTATAACATTGCTTGTAAAAATTAGCTTCTTTATGGACTTTTTTTTATCATTATTTCATGGTAATAAATTTTTATACGTTCTATTTTATATACATTTATAGAGAGTAAGGTTAAATAAAGAAATTACATATTCTGTATACTCACCTTTAGCTCAAGCGGAGCATGTTCTTTTATACATGAAAAGACAAATTATTATATATTATAAAAGATTATAATAATCTTTGATTTTGTAAAAACTCTACCTTTTATTTAAAATAATGAATTCTATTCATATCAGAAATAAAAATCTAATCCGAGATTGAAAATAAGCAAGAGAGGAAGACGAGTTTCATTATTAGACATACACACATGTATACTGTATATTAGTAAATATAGATAAATGAATTAAATTTATATAAATATATATTATTATATATATTATAATTAGGAAATGCTTTGTATAAAGAATTTAATTGGAAAGAGTTTCCGCTAATCTATCGAGGTTGAAACTTTGAAAGAAAATTCACTTTCCTTATTCATTAACAAACGGCACCATCTATCAGATATATTAAGCATTACTACTACTATCTTTAGGTAAAAAATTTAATGCATATTTGACCAACATAAGAATAATATGTATATAAAAAAATAATAATCAAAGAATTCGTACAACAAACAACCTTTGTACGTCTTTTAAAAGTACTTTGACAACAAGTGTAGTTACATAATTTCGATCGTATTTTCTAAAATATCTGGTATTTTACTCGGCAAAAAAGTAGCTTGCGGTTTGTTTGTTTGATAAGATTCCTGTTTTAATTTATCTGCAGAAAGTGTTTTTAATTTATTATCTAATACTTCATCGGCATAGCTTGTTTTACTTTTTGTGTTTTGTTGCTGTTGATCTTCCTGATGTTCATCCAAATTAATAATTGCTATATTATTTTTCTCATTTTGTATTGATGGATTTGATACATTTGTCTTTCTCTTCCTTTTTGTTTTATCTTTAACAACTAATTCTTTAGATGTTTGTTGATTATTTAATTTCACTTCAATAGTCGCTTTTTCTTCATTTGATTTCCGTCTTACTGTTCTTCTTGTTCTTTGATTTCTTCTTTGTTTTTTTTCTGGAGAGGCTATCTTCCTTCGAGAAAGCTTACGGCTTATTCTCGTAACTAAACTTTTAGCTTGTACAGCTGTAGAAAATTTTCCAATCCTTGGTGTTTTCATTGCCGTTACAAAGTTTCCTTGTTCAATCAAGTGAGTTATCATCTTTCCATAACCACCTATATCTCTTTTCTTTCTCCAATCGTGAACGTCCATTTTTGGATATTCTACTCCACACGTCAGGTCAGTATCTTTGACTTCTTCCTAATAAATGGAAACATGAACGCATATAAATTTATATATATTTATATATATGTATACTGTATGTATTAATGTATGTATTTGAATCTTTATTGAGAATGGGAAATATCTCTATACTAAACTACCTGATGATCAGTTATAACCATTAAATATTCAGGTCCTATTTTGTCACATACTTGACTTTGCTTATGCATATGCCTTATTATCCAAATAGTATTTCTTGCTATGAAGAGAGCCTCGCGAACAGTCAATTCTGATTTTTTCTTAACAAACTCTGGTAAAGTTACGTACTGTCGTCTTATTCGTACGCTTACGCCACCTGCTCGTCTGAATACGCTAAAGGTTCTTTCTGAAAAGAAATAGGAAATGAATCTGATCTGATAAAAATGCTGAATAAATTAAGCTATTTACTCGTAAAAACGTCCTTTAGTGCTATCCTGTTTGATGAACAGTTTTATAATTAATAAATTATTTTTAAAAAATACTCCAACCTCATTTCAATTTGATCAACTGAAATATAGACAATTGACGATAGACCAGCGGCTATGGGCAGTAGAATTTGGGTTATCCAGGGGTAGAGTTCTGAATCCTGACCGTCAGCAGCCACTTTAGCAGCTTACAGAGTATAAAAAGAAAGTATTTTATTTAAAAAAAATAGATTTTTAAAGATTATTTAATACCACAAATTCCGAATATTATCATAACAACTGAATATAATGTGCTGACAGACACAAAAGAGGAAACAAGTTCGACATCATCAGATTTTGCATCAAATACAGCATCAGTCCATAAGTTGTAGACATCTTCAGAATCTTTAAATTTTTTTGCTTTAACTCTTAACGACTGTTTTGCTTTTCGAATATTGTAGAACCTCCAACCTAATGCCAAGACTGAGAACGAAAGGGATATTAAAGAGAAAAGGATACTCTCTAGAGGTATCAATGTTAAACTGAATATGTATGCATTATTTCTTGAATTCATTAAGATATTCAGCGGTGAACACAGTGAATCAATTTCGGCAAAATACGTTTTAAAACATCCTTGATTTGTCAAACTAGAAATGAAATATGCTAGAGATATCAGCCAAATAAAAGTGAGAGCTATTTTATATTTTTTCTTCAGGTTTAATTGAGTTCGAAATAATCCTGTAGGTAGCGACACCGAATAGATGGATAGAACTATGTTAATTAATAGACCAGACACATAGCCTAGTATGAAAAAGACGTTACTGGCTTTGCAGATAGCAGAGGAAATTATTGAAAATTCATCATTGATAACAGGTTTATTCAATCTTATGTTAGCCACTTGAAGTACACTAGAGATTGCGATGAAAAACAGAGATGATGAAAAGTTTAGCATCAGCAATCTCTGAGTTTCATCTTTTTCCCATCTATATACATAATTCCAATGACCAAAAGAGACTATGAATAGTATAATTGCAAGCGCCAGTAGCAACCGTTTAAAATGAGGTAGTTTTAAAAGATTATTGCACGACGATAGCTTAGTTTCATCTGGAGAGCAATTTATCGGATTGATTACTCCATTCAACTGTTTTAATTTACAACAGAAAGCATAATGAGGAAAGTATATATTCCTTACATTGTGCTTTCCTTTCAACACTCTCAAATCAACAGTTGTTACTTTTGTCCCTGAGAATTTAAGAGTGTTCAAAGTTGGTAGTAATGTCAAAAAGTGCAGATTAAGAGTCTTTATGTTGGTAAATGAAAGATCTAGATACTGAAGATTTTGAAGTTTACTAAGATCACTTCCAAGTAGCTTACTAAGTGGGTTATGAGATAAATCCAAATATCTCAATACGCGAAGAATATCAAATACCTTTCTCTCTATCTGGTAAATACTATTTCTTGAGAAATTTAAATTCATAATATGCCAAAGGTGGTTATTAGTTACAACAGGATTCTCATTTACCAAGAACCATTTTGTTTTTACGGTTATGAGGATATTTCTAGATATATCTAATGTCCTTGGTTCTTCGTAATCATTTTTATACAATGGAATTCTCTCAATGCCTATATTTGAACAATCATGAAAGCCCATATCGCATCGGCAACCTTTTGGACAAGATAATTTACAATTTTTTTCATCGTCATGAAATTTTTCGCAGTCATTCACTCCGTCGCAGACTTCGCGCAAGCTTATACATTTGGGGCCTCTAGTGCATCTGTACTTATTCTTGCATTCCTGATCTATAGATAAAGAAAAAAGAATTTTATTTATTTTTTGACAAAGATTTCTTTTGTTTCTTTTCAAATAATATAATTTGAAGGAACACTTACCTCTTTTAGACGATACGTTAATTAAGCGGATTGGATCTATGGGATATTCTTAGTTATATATTTATAAATACAATATAAATGTATATACAGTTATATATATAATAAGCGTAAATCTTTCGATATGTAGTAAATATGAAGTAGGAATAAAATTACATACTTTTATTCATATTTTTCTTGCAGGTAGAATCGCTTCCATTACAACCTGAAAAAAAAATGTTATTCTAACCTAAATAGGTTAATTAAAAAAAGAAAAAAACTAACATATTTCTTCGTTCCATGTATTACAGTCTCGGGTTTTATCGCAGAATAAAAGATTGGAAATGCACGATTCAGAACATTTAAAGTATTTATTATGATTGGAACAATCATTAGCTATGATGAAGAAAATTTTGAAAACACAAGTTATTATAGAAATTATTAATATTAAAAATTTCTTACGGCAGTTAGCTTCATCGCTTTTATCTGAGCAGTCATCTATTCCATCGCAGACATAAAATTGTCTTGTATATTCCGAATTGTTGCAACGATAGAGATATGGCTTTTTAGATGTTACAGCAAGGCGAATAAATATAAAGATAGTGCAGATTCTTGTCGAGTAAAATTTCATTTGGTTCAAGACGTAGAAGAAAAAAGTTAAATCTTTTCGCCTACTTTCCTATTTGTCAGAAAGTGCGCTCAATATAAAATATTGGAGAAATTTTCTTGAATTAGTCTTTCACTGTCAACGACAAAACAACTAAGTGCGCTGAAGAAAATTACTACCGTTTTAGTTAATGCTAAAATATTTCATTATATGCGGTCATGTACTCACGTTTGTCGTGATAAATTCTGCAACAATCATCTGGATATGTAGGCGTCTCTTCGAGAGTATCTGAAAGGAAAACTTTGCAATTCTATCGAAAATAAAACGGACTAGAGATGCTTTACTTTATTAAAAATGAAATTGACACGAAATTTTGGTTTATCACGATTGGAAAATATATCAACTTATTACATTTAGACATATAAATGTCCTTTTCTTTGTTTATCATTTTTTTAACTATTTTTCTCTGATCATCAACGACAGTTTATTTTTAGCAATAAAGTATAAAACCTATTCGTTATCTTCTCGAAGATTCAACTACTAATCTATTTATTTTTGTTTTTGTCACTATCTTGTTTAAATATAAATGAAACATTAAAATCTTACTGAACTTTTCAATCAAGGAGAAAGCCTTTTTTAAAATCAAAAGAGAGTTTTAATTCTAATTTGTCAAAAGTTACTAATTATACCTAAAACATTAATTTATTAAGTTTAGAGCCAAACTATTATTACTATTTTTATTATAATTAGACATTTTTTCTTCCATTGAGTACAACTTTCACTTAATTTTAAGTGGATTGATTGAAAAAGGCTTTTGATTGGATTTCATGTTGTATTATGTAAATGACGAAAGGCATATTATTTATACGAAGAGAGTTAATTACTTTTAAAAAAAGACGTTGTGGGAAAGGAAAAGAGAGAAAAATAACAAGTACAAAGTACTTTGGTTCTGAGTTTTCTTTTTACAATTAGATGAAAACAAGAAAGCGTTGTCAAGTAAAGCTGTTTTTGTTATTTCTCAAAGTACGATACTTCCTTTATCAGTATGATACTGTTTTGAATAAATCATTGTTTATTTCTTATTACCCAAATTAATTATAATACAAAAATATAATACAAATATTATTCATTATTGATAGTAAATAGCGCTATTAAGAAATGAGAATTACGATAAAACACGACAAAAACAACTTTAAAAAGAGTAATAATGAGAGAATATTATCATGCCCCATTGTATATACGTCCTTCTTTCTCTTATATAGCTTAAATCACTGAAATAAGAAAGAACAGAACGTAAAACAGAGAAAGAGCTGAAAAGTTATTATTTTTCTTTGCAGTCTTTCAATCGTTAATGTATTTCTTGTTTTTACACTATTTCAAACTTTACTCTAAGCTATTTGTCATAAAATAATAAACACGTGTCTAAAAATAGTGAACTATGAAATATCTATAGTAGATTAAAACCAGGCTTATCCCTCTTAATATGGATACGAAAACTTGTTAAAAACAAAAAAAAGAAAATCATGTAGACGTATTTTTAGAAAATACAAATACATCTTTCATAAGAAACCTTATAAAGCCAATGATTCGTGTACAATTAGCATGTTTTATAATAAGTTATGTTTTTTATTGTGTTTGTCATTTAATACCTACAAATGACTAAACATAATAAGTAATTTTTTTCTTTTGGTCAGAGACATAGATTATCTTTAAAAGGCTAAGATACTTAGTTAAATCTTGTGTATCGTCCTCGTGTATGACTGATTAAACTTGGTATCAGGTTTTTTTAGCTTTACTTTTATAAGATATACATTATTTATCAGCTGTGAACGTCACGTAAATAGGAATATTTAGCAAAAAATAACCTTTCGAACTGAACACGCAATTCCTCATATCAGTAGGGTCAAGGTTGTTTATCAACAATTTACTATATAAAAGAAGCTTGTGGCTCAAGTTAGTTTCTGTCGCAAGCTTGAACAGTTGTAATTTAAGCAGCTAAAAAAATTTTTCTCTTTTTTCAAAACTTCAAGTAAAACAAGGAATTTCCAAAGACCTTGTAAATTTTTTCAGTCATTCTTGCGTTCATCGCATGATTTCCAAAGTTGCTAAAGTCGCTAAAACTCTTTGTTCTATTCAAGATTTGAAAAACAGATTCGATTGGTTTCAATCGTAAGTATAATGAAAGATATAAATGGAAATGAAATATGCCAATAAAAAATAAGAATTGTTAATTACATAAGCGTTCATATCGAATTTTATTTTTTCAAAGATCGAGAACATTTTGTTCTTTTCTTCAACATTTTAATGTTTTTCAGCTCTTTCATTTTTTCGCTAGTCTTTTCAATAAACAAAATTGAAAAACATATATATTTATATAAAATATGTACAGCATAAAAACAAAAAAACGACTGTTCCTTATAGAAATCTCTTCTCTTTCTTACAGATGGCAAAACTCATTGTTCTTTCCCTCATTTTTGGCTTCGCTTTGGGTGAATTCAACCTGAAGCCTTTAAAAACAATTTATCTTCCATACGAATTTGATCAAAGTGGATCGCCGCAGTTCGATCTCTTTTCGGCTGCTGCCGAACAAATTGGCTACCACTATGGTACTAGGAAAGCCTATGCTATTGGTGGTGCTGGTCTTTTACACGTTGTTGATCTTTCATCTGTCAATGATGCTGAGTTAATTCACAGTGAACATGTTGACGGAGAGCCAAATGACCTTGATATTTGTGGCAATTATATTGCTTTGAGTGTCAGGAATGACATTAGCGTCTTACCTGGCAAAGCGGTCATCTTTAAAGTTTACCAAGACAGTAGCAAATCAATGGAAAAAATCCATGAAATCCCAAGTAAGTAAATTTAACTCCTTATGATCAAAAAGTGTCGGTTAGAAAGTAACCTACACCACATAGTCAGTAATGTAAGAATGAATCAAACTTGATTATTATCAGATTAAAAGAAAATTCAAGTCGATAAGATAAAGAAGGTGTATGATAACCTTGATCAGGAGTAGATAAACTCCTTCTTTATCATTATCACTTGCTTAATCGTTCTTTGTTATCAGTTACTTAATCATTTCTCATTATCGCCTATTCAATCACTCATCAATTACTTTATTTACAGTTGGAAATTGCCCTGCAAGTTCGATAGTATTCACAAAAGATTGCAAAACTTTACTCGTTGCTAATGAAGGTGAAGCTGGTCTTGATGAGAACGGAAAATTCCATGACCCAGAGGGTTCAGTTACCGTAATCAATTTCAAAAACGAAAGTCTTTTGGAATATTCGGTTCGAACCGCTACTTTCCATAAGTTTAATGACAGGTAGGCAAATTTCTAAGACTATACTACTAAGACAAAAAAATTAATGAACGCTCAATCAACCTGGTAAGCGTAAGAATAGGATGCTCTAAATCGCAGTGTTCACAGTGAGATATACGTACTGTAAAAGGCGGTCAAAGGATAAAGTTGGATAAATGGAGGAGCTAATTCGCATACTTATAAAATATCGATTTACGAAAGGAATAGAAAAATCTGGTAAGATTCAAGTAAAACAAACAAACAAACAAAAAAAAGAAACATACAAACAAAAATTAGACCGCTAAAAAAGGTTCAGACCGCACTAAAAAAACTTTTTTATCTGATTTATCTTTATTTATTACCGTATATTTATTTCATAATATTATCATTATTAATTATCATTTATATAAAATATTTTATATCTAACATATGAACATACTGTATATATATATATATATATATATATATATAATTCATTTATATTATCTTTATAGAAACTCTATATGCATATTAAATTATTAATGTTACTTTTCATATTTGTAACTTTACTGCTGTGATATATCAGTATGGCTATATGCTATTATAATTATCATAATAGTATATTTAGATATGCATATATATATACTGGTATATAAATATGAACAAGTACATGACATATTTTGCTATGTATAACTTTACATGTTCAATCTTTTACGTGAATTTAATCTCTAAAATTGAATGTTAATTTTTCTAAACCCTTATCTTTTTTATATTAGGGCCAGCGAATTTTTAGCAAAAGGTGTTAGGTGGATCTATAAAGGAGAGCGATCGGGTGAGCAGTTAACCTTCTCCCATGACATCGAACCTGAATATATAGTCCTTTCTGAAGATGAGTCTATAGCCTACGTTGTGCTGCAAGAAAATAATGCGATAGCCAAATTGGATGTATCAAATGCTGAATTTTTAGATATCATTCCATTAGGTTACAAAGATTGGAGCCAATCAGGTTTTGACGCTAGCGATAAAGACGGTCGAATTAATATCCAGAAGTGGCCAATAAGAGGGCTTTATCAACCGGATGGCATCCGCCTTTTTAAGCATAACGGAAAGCCTTATTTAGTTACAGCAAACGAGGGCGATCTTAAATCCTATAAACTTAAGCACGAAGGTCTTACCTGGGCAGAAATGGCGAGAGGTAAAGTTTTCGTAGACGGTAACATGTTAGATGAGAGTGTACCCGAGAATATGAGAGAAGCCTTGAGCGATGATAAAAAATTGGGGCGTCTATATCTGAGTTTAATTGATGGAAAAAATCCAAAAACTGGATTATATGAGAATCTTTATGCTTATGGAGGACGTTCGTTTACAATTTGGGATCCAGAAAATGAAATGGAAAAAATTTATGATTCTGGATCGGATTTTGAAAATTATCATGCTAAAATTTTACCAGAAGTCTTCAATAATCATGTAGGTGATAGAACTCATGCTCCTGAAGATGATTTTGATGTTAGATCTGACGATATGGGTCCCGAAGTGGAAGTTGTAGAAACGGCTCAAATCGGAAACAAAACTTACTTTTTTGTTGGTAATCAAAGAGTATCTACAGTCATTGTTTATTCAGTTGAAAATGGAAAAGCTTTGGTACCAAAATTTGAAGGACTTTTCAGGCCAGGAGGAACTAGGAAAACCTGGCAACAACTGTTTGACAACAGGGATGTTGGAGATACAAATACACAAGACATGAAGTAAGTTTCTAATCTCTTTCCATATCAACTTGAGTATTTTTATACTTTTTTTCCCCTTTGAAAATTAGATATATTCCCGCCGAGCTAAGTTCCAATGGAAATCCACTTCTTCTTGTCAGTGGAAGTCTCAGCGGAACAATTTCAGTTTATGAAATACAAACCGGTCCTTTAGATTGCGGTAAGAGATTTATTATGAATAAATACAATCAATAGTTAATAATTTGACCCGATTTTCTTAGATATTTTTATGTTGGATAGTGAACCACTCAGTCGTTTAAAGAAAGAAACAAATTCAGCTGTTTTCTACATGGGATTGGAAACTTATTTGAGATAATTATCATATTTTTTATGATAACGATAGCAATGAATAAGTGATTATGATATTTAGTGTTAAACCCTATTCCTTCCTTTCCTTCAAATCAACATATGTGCAGACAATTTTGTAACTTTTCATACTTTTAAGACTATTTCTGAGAAAAATTCGTCAACTTAAAATGAGTTATTAATAGCCAGAAAGAAGTATGTACAGTATATATATATATATATATATATAATCTCCCTGCTTATCTCAAATACTTTCTCAGTTATCTATTTATGTATTTCTCTCAAAAGAAAACAATCTTCATTTCTGGCTTTTACATTTACTCATTATTATTATTATTTAACCTATCAAACTCAGTATTTATTTAAAATATAAAATTAGATTAAAATTGATTGATAATTGTATTTTCTCTTATCAATTAAAAAAATTAAGTGATTTCAGATTTATTAAATATTAAAAAATATAAAAGTTTATCGGGAAGATGATATCATATATTGAAGTATTTTCAAAAATACGTTCAATGTTTGTAGAATAGGAACCATATAATATGCAATTAAGCCTTTCCAAATATGGTAATTTTTGTAATTTTTTAGATGTTTTACCACTTAGTACGACAATTATCTGCCAAAATAGAAAGCATAATGATATAAATGTAGCTATTATACCAGTAGTGCAAATGCCAATAATAACAATAGAGGATTTGGAGAAAAAAGAAATGTTTTCTCTCCTAAAATACATAATCATTTCGTTAATGGAAAAAACACCTGAAAGAGTCGTATAAAAGCAAAAGAGAATAAAAAATTTGTGATTTTTTTTTCCAATACAAGTTTTCATAAAAAAACAATGATGATCTCTCCTTTCAATGCAAATCTTACACAAAATACAATGATGTACTTCCTCTGTCTTTATAATTTTACATTTGTTACAAAAACGAGTCTGAACAGAAGTTTTTTTAATATTTTCACGATTTAACCAATAAGATTTATTTATTATGCACAAGAAATAGCTCACTGTTGTATTAATAAGCAGGTAAATTGCTGCTACATACTTGTAAATATTGACCATTTGGTTGGCTTCTTCATAACTGTTTTTCGGTAATATTATAAAAAAACCTGTAATGATTGAACACAATAGCATCATTAAGAAGAAGAATCTAGCCGTTTTATTTGCGTAAGTGTAGATTTTAAAACGGTATTCTTTTCTAGCACACATTTCGTAGTAGCTTAGTTCAACTGAACTAATATATTCAACATGAAATGTATTATAAACAATTAGTAAAATATTGTTGAGCAATAGGTAAAATAGTTATATTGATTTTTTGGTTAGTAACGCCATCTCTAGAATGTCATACCAACACCTGTATCTCTTTAATCTTGAAAAAGAGTTCCGATTTTTATGAAATAAGCATAACTTTAAAAGCTTTAAAGGAAATTATTAACAAAAATTCTATATTAATTATAAGTAGCGAATAATTATTGATATTGAATTTTCACTGAGCTTTACAACGTTATAATGATTTACCTTTAATAAATTGTATTATTATACTACGTATATACAAATATTTCATCTGTAGAGACAAAATGCTTAATACTGTTAAACAAGTTTCATGAGTGGAATCAAGTGCATTTCATTGGTGTTCTATTCATTAACATTAACAATACATTTTTTCGAAATACAACTCAAAGGGAAAAAAAAACAATGAAATAAATTTTTCTCTTTCTCTCTTCTTCTCTTTCTTTTTGTCTCTGGGAAGATATTAAAAATAGACATTGAAATGGTGTTGTAAAATTGCACTGTTTAGAATAGATAAGAGAAATCAAACTGCTATTAAGATAAAGTGGATATGAAGAGAGAGAAATCTTTAAAGTATCCTGTAATAAAATAACAAAGGAAAAAGAATAGAAAATAAACATAATTAGTTAACTGATAAAAGAAGGAGAAATTAGAAATCTATTGTTTTCTTTTGTTCTTGATAAGAGTGAAAACAATAAGAGAAATTAAGAATATTCTTTCTCCAACATATTGTAACAAATAATTAATGCTTCCGGTTGTTTGTGAACAAAAAGTATAACGATTAGTATTAATCGAACATTTCCATGAAATTGGTTGATTAATTCTTAGAGATAAAATGCTGAAAGTATTCTTCTTTGTTTTCCTTTTCTCTGCGGTTGTTGCTTTTTTTCTAGTTTGAAGGATTGATAATAGTTTCAAGGGAAATACGAATAAATAAGTATTATGTTCAATTATCATTGAATAATGCACGTTTTCAATGTCCTTTAACCCGAAACTCGGTTCTTATTTGATCTTAAACCAGTGAGCCATCTGAAGGCGACGAGGGCGCATTTATTTGTGTCTTTTGCGATATCAGGTGTTCCAATATCTCGATCGTAGACTTCGCTTGCTTCATAAATATCGAGAGCTTCTTTTGCATCTTCTTGAACAACTGCATCGTAATGACCTCCACCTTTTCTACTCCAAACAACGTGAAATTCTAATTTACTTTTGATAATATCAGATTTAATCGTATCCGTTACAACTTTCTCCGAAGCTGCTGATCCTCCCATTGTGACATGTAGCGACCTTTGGAAAAGGTCACTTGCTGCGTATAAGATTATATAGCCTGTCCATTCTCCAGGTGTTTTCATCCTTCGTAATTCTTGCTTGACTATAAAATCGGCTTTATCGTCGTCCTGGTTTTTGCCTACTTCCATTAGTATGAAAGAGTGATATTTGTTTAGATTTTCACTGATGTAATCTACAATAGTCTTTCTTAGAAAATCATGATGATTCTCATCACTGTAGATTTGAACCGATAATGCTCTGAATAGACAATTTCCATCCGCTCTCACACTTCTTCTCTTCAATGCTCTACAAGATAAATAGCGATCCTGAGCGAGTTCTTCCACATAATCATCATCAGAACTTTGCCTCTGTATAGTTTTGCTTCGAGTGTTGACTTCGGGTAGTGTAGTTGACCTAGTTTTGAGACCATCAAAATGATTATGAATTCTAGTTTTAAACCATTTGTAATTCTGCCGATTCGAGTTATCTTCTTTAGAATTCCTTATCTTATTGTTTTTTTCATTTATTGCTCTCCTTTGATTCTGATCATTTGCCAAATTGTATGAAGTTTGAAGAATAGATGTCATTTCTTCGGTTCTCAATCCTTTAGAGGCATCGACGATATCATTTTCAACAATGAGCTCGGTATTTATCACTAGAGGTTCGCTTACCTGCGTATTTTCCAAAATAGGCCCAAATCTATGGTGACTACGTCATGAGGGTTTCCATGGAAACTTGCGTGCGAATTGATTACGTCTCTGATTACAAACATAGTTATTTACAAAAATTTCGAATGCATTGAATATCAGAAGACTGATATTCCGCTTATTACTAATTCCAACATATTTAGTCATTAGTTAATTAATCCTAAGCAATGAAGATTCTATATGTTTACATTTTTTTTTTTGTAAAAGACTATCTATACATGTTTCATTCATGGACAGATGCGTATTCTGAAATAGCCAATGAATGGACAAGATGAACTGTATAAAGTATGCAAATTCTAATTGAAAGTGCCAATAAAGCTAAAAATACATATTTTAAATATATACTGTATATTACATTGATATTATTAATATCTATTAATAGATATTGTATATTGTATGTTATTTCATTTGTTCTCCTATCCAAATAAATTACATAGGAAACGAGCGAGATACTTCATTAAAAACTTTCTATAAAAAGTATATTACTAATCTTTATATATATTCTCTAAACTTTTAAAAGTATTGAATAAAATTTTTAAGGACTATTAATACTTTTGTGTTCGTAATACGAGAAAAATGAGCTATTAATTGTACCTTCAAATATGTTTAAACAGCTTATAAATAGGGTATACATAAAATATTTATATACAATATCTACTATTCTATTAATAAATAACTTTATCACATGTTTTAGAATTATTTTTTCTTCACTTCAGGAAGTGAACTGTGTAGTCGAAAAATCAAATGTGTATAGGTAACTAGTTCAAATGTTAACAACCAGCCTAGTTTCGAGACTACCTTTAAAAATACTGCAATTGCTTACTTAATTTAAATAGTTAATTGAATAATAATTTAGCTTTTTGAAAAATTTTATAAATGATGGTTCTCTGATCTAAAATGTTTCTTTAATTTTTTAATTTTTCTTATCCTTCTATCATTTCTCTCCTTGACTATCACAATTATCGATTATGTTAAATTAGATATTTATGTGTATACTATATACATAATGATATAATAAGTTTAATATGAACAAAGAGATACAATTCCTCTAAATAACGCTGCTCTCTTTTTCGTTTTGACAGATGCTATTGTAAAATTATGATATACATTTTTGGTAGTTTTTTTTTTTAAATATCAATGTCTTCCTATGTAGAATAAGAAAGAGAGGGTAGTAAATAATTATAGCAGCTCATAGTCCCAAATCTAGTTCGCAGTTACCAGTATGTAAGTATATAAAACATATTAATATTTCGATAAAACATTAAAAAACAGAAATTCTCTTTTAGAAAATAGAAAATTCAATAAAGTAATGCATTGAGATCTACGCCACTTAACAGCGAAGGTAAGCTGTCAGACGACAATACACTGAGTTAGCTTTAAGTAAAAAGACAAAAAAATATACTTAATGCGTGTTAAGTTAAACGTGTATCTATCTTTTTCTCGCTCTCTCTCTCTCTCTCTCTGTCACACACACACACACACACATCCACTCTCACACTCTCACACTCTCTTAAGTCAGTTGTTAAATAATTTATATTAAAATACAGACTATTCTTTAATGTTTCCTATACTAGAGTGTATAACAGATATAGTATATCAATTTCATATTAGTACTGATTTAGCATTGTTCATAAATTAGACAATTTACATTCCATTTTATATTTTAATCTTTTTCAGGCAGAATGACTTTTGATTTTGTCATAAGAAAGAATATAAAATGAAAGCTTTTCTCGTATACTTGATAACTTTGTTAACGTAACATGTCCTCAATACACCACTTGCCACGGTACAAGAAATACTATTATATATAGTATATAAATCAAGGCGTGTACATTATTAAATTTGTCAGTTTGTTTCATTTCCACTTAAATGAACTTAAAATTTTTTACCCCAAAGTAAAGAGTTTAAATAAAATTCGTCTATTTTGATTCTAGTAGTTATTATTGCTTGTATCAAACCCCAAGAAAGTGACATATGAAGCTACCATATACGTTTTCATACCTTCCTCCAGACAAAAGTTTTCAATGGGTTTATCTTCTTTGACTATATTAGGAATGGTTTCATTGAAAAATTCATAATTATCGTCTTTAAACACAGAAGCTAGTTTTGTTTTAGACTTGAGAGATATGATCTCGGTGTGCTTTGTTTTTGTAGTAAACTTTTGCCAATCAGAAATTTCCCTATTGGTTAAAAATAAATAAATATAAAAAATGAAGGAATAGAATAATTTTAAAGATTACCCTGTTTCAATAAATTCTCCATGTTTTTTCATCAAACGTAGGCTTATTTCTTTATCATCATCGCTCCATTTCAGATCTCCATATTTTTTCGAGAAAGGAACACCAAATTTAAAAGCCAAATCCTTAGAATGAACCATTGATACAAATTCTGGACCTTCAAAGTAGTCAGGTCGATGATGAAGCTCGCACAAATAAGTTGTATTATGTTCTGAATGATACCTAGCTAATTTGAGAACGTTACTGAGGATATAGATATTTCCATATATTTCCATGATAGCCTTGAAGAAGTTTTCATGAGTTTGAATTTCTGGTCTGTATTTATCAGCAACTAGTTTGGTGATTTTTTCACCCATTTCCTTAGAGAGAAAAAGGTAGCAATATAACCTTATCGCCCTGCGTATTAAGTCAACAAAGTGAGAATCACTTTTTACGTTGCTGTTATGAAGTGCAAATTGTGAGAAGGTATAACCCTCATCAGCAACACATCCACAGAGCATTGGCAATTTTAAAAATAAACCCTTGTCATACACATCTACCGGATCCTCTTCCAGTACATAGCCGTCAATAACAGTGGTCACTGATAAAAAACTGTATAACAGCACTTTTAAATAATCAGTACTTTTACTTTTCAAGAATTGTTTTATTTCATTTCCATTTCTAGAGCCTTTATAACCTTCTTTGCGTAAAATAAAGAAGTGCATTTCTGAGGCAAACTTTCTCGGTGTAGCTCTCGAACTAGTAGCAAGAGCACTAGCGCTCTCGCAAATAACTTTATGGAACAGTCCTCTACATAGCTTCGATGTCAAAAGGCAAGAAACCATTGAAGATGCTAGACAGATATCATAAATATTTAGATAATGAATATTATCTGAATGTTATAAGTTTCATTACCTGAACTTGCTCCGTAAAAAGTTACATTGTTTGGATCCCCTCCAAAATTAGAAATATACTTTTGAACCCATCGCAAAGCCGTTATCTGATCAAGAAGTATGTAATTTCCTTCTAAAACACCATCCTCGCTTGCTGCCAAACCTATTGGTATGACTTTCATTAACTATTAATCTTTAATATTAAAATATTGGCTCATACCAAACAATCCAAGTCTGAAGCTAAATGTCACTAATATTACACGATTAACGCAGCAGAAAATGTCTCCATTGAATACATTTGCTGATCCATGTCTATAATGATTACAGCACGACCAAACAACAACCGGAAGTTTCTCGCTTTCTTTAATTTTAGATGGTCTCCATATATTTAATTCTAGACAATTTTCATCAGAATTAGACTCATCGTCCACAATTTGAATTGGCGCATACTGGTTCTCTAAAAATTCAAATTCTTGTGGACAGCATTTGCCTTTAAAAAGAAAGATTCAATTTGTTATTCAACATCTGTTCATTTGAAGTGAAATCTTTAAAATATGTAAATTAACTGGGATCTATCTATTAACTGGGAGATCAAAGTTTTTGTTTAAGAACTGTGCAGGTGTAGTAGAAGAGTAAAGCTGATAAGAAAATGGTTCGTGAAATGGTAACAAGATATATTATGACATATTTCCTCTCCTAATGCATCATAAAATGTCTATTAATAGCAATAACTTAATTTTAGCTCGTCATACGTAAATTTATTTAGAGCTAACAATAAAATAATTTGATTCTTGTATCACATACTTCTTTGATTTGCAATCCTTGTTCCTTCCCATAATTCGGCTAGTTTGGGTCTCTCAAATCTTTCGGCTTCTCCGTATCGAATTCCAGTGAAGGATTCTACACCCTTAGAAAATTCTCGATTGAAAGTCCGTATTCCTTGAACGCTGCATTCGGGTGACAATTTTACTACAGGCGGAGGCATTATTGTATGGACGTATTCGAGGCAACTACAGCACTGAATATCAAGAGTGAAATGAAGGAGACTATCTATATATACAGAATATATATATATTTTTACGGCGTTTTTGAAATTTTAAGCGGGCTACCATTGTGTTTGAATACATCTGTTGTGAGAGGGAACAAATGATAAGGTGTTTTAGTATTAAACGTTAGAGCATTTGTTCTTTTGTACTGAAAACTGAGAACAATTTAATAAAATTTACCAAAATGATGGAAAAAAAAAAAGATCAGATAAAAATTTAAAACAAAATGTACATTTCTTTTTAATTTTTAGTTTTTTAGTTGAGTTCTTCATTCTAAAAATATTCAATATACGTTTTAATAGTATAATCATAACTTCCCATTTTATTTCTCTACAATTAGATTAATCATAATATAAAAAGATAATAAATTATAGATAAGCATATATCCTATTGCAGTAGTGTTTGCATATGTGAAGCTTTTAATGCAAAAAAAAAGGTCTTGTACGATAAATTAAAATAGTGATGATTAAGTAATATTGTAATAGTAAATGTAATTAATCAATTAATTACTTATTATAGACAAAATAAATAATATTTTAATTTATTAATTATTAATATAAATTCTTTATAATTTTAAACTAATTAAAAAAATCAATAATTTTTTTTCGTTAAAAAGTTTAAAGTTCTAACAAAAGGAAAAACAATGTTCTAATCTATTTTTGGTGACAGTTGGTTTATTGTATCTTTAAAAAAAAGTTATTTAAAAAAAGTTGTTTTTTAATTAAACTGATGTTATTAAAATATGAACATCATTGTACAGTATTTTGTATCAATAATCATTATTATTACTATTTAACTATTTCCGTTCTTATCATTTCTTTTTCGTATATAAAATATTTTTTATATACACGGTGTATTTACAGTATATATCTATCTATCTATATATTTATATAGTGTGTAACGATTTATAGGTCAGACTCGTGTATGACCTAGGTTGTTAGCGTCTCGAGCGTCTAGAGATTTATTGACCTACATACATTATCTCACACCACAACTTGTCATTATTTCTCTTCACGAGTCTATAATGGTTTAAACAAGAATATGTTGATGAATTTATTCATGGAACATCGCGCGATTAGAACGTCCGATATAAAAGAGCAAAGAATGAGGCGATGTTATCAAAGGGTCTCACAAGATGCCAAGACAGATATACTTGTAAAAAAAAAATAGCAGTATTTGTCGTCATTATCTTACTACTATCTAAATTGTAATAGAATTTGAATTTAAAAACATGGATATACAGTTATCAAATTCTAGTTGGTTGGATGATATACCTTATATAATTGAGCCAAATCAGGCCAAATCCAATCATGTAACACCGATAAGAAATGAAGAAGTATATTATTCAAATCAAAGTCAACAGTTAACATGTGTAAGTATAGTGAAAAAGAATGATAATTGTCTTTCGATATTTTATCTATTGAAGATTAAGCATAATCTATTCAAAAACATATTGGATTAATCTGATATTAAATACAAGTAATTCTGTTTTAGACACCACCCGTCTATTCTGTAGAAACAAATTTCAACTTCAATCAGGAAATTATGGATACGTATGAACAATCGTCAGATTCAAGATCTACTCAATTACCGGTTAAACGAAGACAAACAGCGCATACGAAAGCGGAACAGAGAAGAAGAGATTCGATAAAGACAGCTTATACAAACCTGAGTTCAATTTTACCAGTAAATAGTAATAATGATTCAAAGCCTATCAGTAAAGCAGCAATATTACAAAATGGTAAGTAAAAAATTAGATAAGAAATTATGTAATTAAATCCATATAGAAAAACGAATTTGCAGTTTACAAATGAAAGTTTATCTTTATAATTGTATAGCTTTTATTACATCCCTTCAGCTATACGCTATGTGAAAGATTTGGAACAACAAAAGGAAATAAAAGCCGCTGCAATACAAAAATTAAAGATTGAATTAGCCAGCCTAAGAGAATTACGAAAGTAATTATTGAATTTCCTTTTAGATATCACACACATTAGTTTACATTCTGTACGTTTAACTATTTTATTAAAGGAATTATCATCAAACTATTACCTCCAAAGCTGTAGAGAAGGTGTCCGAGGATCAAAAATTCTTTTTTGTAAGTTGTTAAGACTTAATTAATTAATTAATGTTATTACTCTTTTCTCATTTTCAAAGTTTGAACATCTAGCTGACGAGTTATTTATATCATTTCAATCAATGATCAACTGGAGAAATTTTTCCAATTTTTCCAATCTTGTTTTAGCCTGGCTGGAAGACAATTTAAGTAAAAGTGTAAATATCTATTTATATTCATTCATTTTAACAAAAACTAAGATTATTAATAATTTCTTTAGAAACTTCGGGAAACAATTTTAAAAAGTTCAAACAATCGTTTACCCTTTCCAAACAACTAAAACAATTAAATAAACAGCTATATTAAATGCATTAATGAAAATTTTGATATGATGATATGAACCATACCAATAAATATATTTACAATTATAGCAAGGAGAGTGAACTCTAAACTGTCAATTAATTAGAGTATTGGAAAGTTTTATTTCTTCCTTTAACACTTGTTTCTATAATTTTTCAAATTGTATTCACATTGATATTTATTTGATGGATATACTTATTTAATAATAGAGGTGTGCGATCTGTACAAAAAGGAGGGCGAAAGAAAAAGGTAGTTTTATGATGGACAATTAACTATGACATATACATTATGTATGACCTTTCAACCTTGTTCCATTATTTAAAAACAACCACTGTTAACGAAGATAATTTATCACTCTCGCATTTAAAAGCTGATGCAATCTATTTCAACGTCCAAAAACTATGTTACCTTGTGCTTTTCTGTCAAATTAGATAATCAAATAATTCTATAAATAGATTTTTTTCCTCATTTTAATTTAATAGTAAACCATCAGTTCACTCTATTTACTATTAAAGATTAATATTTTACTTAGCGTTGATGGTTCACTATGTCCATATAATTAAGTATTTAATAATAGATAATATAATCTATTTCTGGAATAAAATGTTTTCCAAATTTGATTTTAAAACTAATGTATTTAATCTGATTGTACTTTTCATGTTTTAATTATATTTTGCAACGTATTTCAACATTCTTTTGTGTTCAAAACAATAGTTTATAGAATGCTATTTTATTATTTTAGTGATTTATTGATAATTGGTTTTATCTTTTGAATCTTATGCATTTCTATTTTTAGAAAAATGCCTGACAATTTGTAGTATTTATAATTATTTTTCAATTGAAACTCGGTAAAAACTGTCGAAAAAGATCTGAGAAGAACAACTAATTCATTTGACTATCATGTGAATATTGATAGAGATATATTAAAAAATAATATTTTATATTAACAGAAATAATAACAATTTTTTAAAATCAATTTATTTCTTGTATTAAAATTATTCAGAGATTAAAAAAAAGTTATAGTCATTTTAAAGCAAAACAGATATGTTTTAACTATCGATTTTAATAGAGTTAGAGAGATTTTAGTACAGAGCAATTATTCTCGCCAATTCTCTCTCTCAGGAAAATCCAATACGTTTTTAATTTAAGAAATTCCAACGACCATAAAATAATAATTCGCTGATGAGATAAGATACATCAATATCTCATCTCTTTAAAAAAAATATATTTATTAGTGTATATGTCTAAATATTTGTTTTGACCCAAAATTTGGACTCTACCTTCTTTTACTAAAATGTCCTTATTTCATGACTATCTTCATTTCCCTCTGCTTCAGTTTATTTTCGAAAAGGGCTGTTTGAATCAACCTTTGATTTGTAGCCTTATGTTTAATATGCAATACATTTGAGTATAAGAGAGTTAGTAACATGTGTTAACGACCTTAGCTCTTGTAGTTTTTGATTTTTTGAAGAAAGTCTATACAGGAAACATCTACCTCAAACAATTCCTTTGAATTATTTCCTAACAGGCGCTTTTTAATAAATAATAACCCAATTGTAGGAAACCAGCAAAAAACTATGATATTTAGCAATTAGCACTATCTGAAATTAGAAACTCTTTTTTCATTTATTGAGAATAAGTAGAAAGTATCTTTGTCCGTGAAATAGGTTCGTAAGAAACTTATACCTACTGTTACTAGTGCGAAATTAATTACATAATATAAACATATTATCGTGTATAAAATTTGTAGCCTATACTTTAGCTTTAGGAAAGCAGTAGGATTTAAAGATTACAAGGAAATATAGTAAAATCCTATCAAAAAAGAAAAAGAAAACATGCAGTAGAAGTAAGGATGATATTCGATAGATGGCGATCATAACTTTTATATACATAAAAAAAACGAAAATAATACTTTTTGAACAGAACGTTATACATTATGTGTTAGTATGAGTCAGTGAATGTATGTCAGTACGTTGGCGTCACTTAAAGGGGGAGCTTGACTTAGCCAAAGTTGGGACAGTCCAATTGACTTAATGTCACATAACCGGGATAGAGAACGACATGGCGCGAACGTGGCACCAAGAATTAGCACAGTCAAGCACCCAGTTAAGTGACGCTAGCAAGGTATAAAAGAGAGTGAATGTATCAGAACGGGATGAGAAAGCTAAGAGTAATTAAAACATAATTTTAGACGGAATTGTCCGCAATCCCGTAATACAAGCAAAAACTAAATCTTGTAAACTTTTAATAAGAAATGTATTAAACAATAAGGCTGTAAAGAAAAGAGATGTAAATTTTGATTAAAGCTGAAAGAAGTTTTCTTTATTTATAATTGAATTGTAAAAATAAAATTGTTGAAAAAACGTTATTATTTCAGTGTTAATGACGCGAATTTTAAGGATATAATGAACTTGATATGATTGATTTCCAGGGAAAAGGAAACTAAGTACCAGTAAAATTTAAATAAATACTCACTTTTTGATTTCTCTATTTGGAATTCACAAATAAATGGAAGAGCTAGCTCACAGCTAACGTGATGCCAACGACCAGTTTCACTCTGAGTTCACATGAAATATTCAATAAAAACATACATTCTGCCTAAACAATACTTACATCCATATATACACAATCCTTGTCTATGGTGTTCCCTGTTTTATTTTGGAAGAATTTGAAACTGTTTCTTTTCAGCTCTCTTCCATCACTCCATACAAATTTCCCTATAAATATCGATTATCCTAATAAATCTTCAAAATCAGAAAAACAAAAATTACCCTCTTCAAGGCTATCCGATAAACCAATAAAGCCATTAGCAACGCTCTTCTTTAGCATTTTCTTTGCAATAGCGCTATTCTTTCTCATGTTTCTTATAGAAACCATTTGACCTCCTCGTTCTTCACAATATTTCAATGCTTCGGATGGGAATTGAGGGTTTTGAACAACTTCAATGCATTTACTTCCAAATTTAAATTGACCCTTTTTGCATGGACGTTGTGGTTTACATTTATATTCAACTTCCAAATACTTAAATATTCCAGGACAAGGATCCCCAAATACACTATTCTTGGCAAGAACACTGCAAGATGATTTTCCATTACACTGTCTTTTCACAATAGCATTGGAATTTTCAGAAGCACAATTGTTATTCATGATCGTCTGTCTATATCCAGTCAGAGACTTCTTTTTACAAGAAGACATATCTCCTTGGGACCTACCATACAATGCTGACTTAACATCAATCACCAATCCACTTGGACAAAGTATATCAAGTGTTTTATGTTCACAAGTCTTCTTCTTTTCATAATCTAAAAAAAAGTAACTGTTTCTGTGTTGATATCATAAAAAATACAAACCTGAACTTCCGTCATTTGTCGGTGGGACAGTTTCGACTGAACAACGAAAATTTGAAAGAATATAAAAAAACAAATAAAAAAAACATAAAAACAAACTTGTTGGTGTTTCCGTAGATGGCAATTCAGTGGGTTCAGGTCCTTCAGTTGGCAATTCACTGGGTGCTTCTGTAGGTTCAGGAACTGCAGTGGAACCTTCTGTAGCTTCAGATTCTTCAGTAGAAGCTTCTGTGGGCTCAAAAACTTCAGTGGGAGATTCAGTTATTTCAGGTGATTCAGTATCAGATTCGGTAGGTTCAATACCTTCAGTAGATCCTTTAGTCAATCCAGGTTCTTCAGTTGGAATTACTATAGGCTCGTTTGTTGGTTTAGGTGGTTCTATAAATACTTCAGTGGATTTTGGTGCTTCTGTTGCCAGTAATGTTGCATCAGTTCCATCAGTTACTGGTTTACTAGTTGGTTTCACAGTAGTCTTTGCCTTTGTGACTAAAAGCAAAAAAATTAAAAAGTCCCACCAAAAAAACACTAGAAAAAAATATTCACCCTTTCTACAAAAATAAACTACTCTCAAGTATTTGAAAATTCCTGGGCAAGGATCTCCAAACACATTATTCTTTGCCAATACATTACATCTTCTCTTTCCATTACAGAATTTCCTTACTTGTGAAAGAGATTTCTTGGAAGCACACACACTGGCAGCAATTCTTTTTTGGAATTTTGACAATGATTTTTGTGGACAAACTTTCATGTCTCCCTTTCCTCTTCCATAAACAGCTCTTCTCACAGCAATCTTTCTACCAGCTGGGCAGGCCAGTTTAAGAACTTTGTGTTCACACGTAACTCCAGTCTTGACATCTAATGCAGAAAAACAAAATAAACAAAATTCCAAACTTTTGAATAATTAGAAAGTCATTAATCTTACTTGGTTTTGGTTTTGGTTTTGGTGGTGTTGCTAAAACTGAGCATTATATTTTTTAGTAACTTTTTCAAATAATAATTTGATAGATATACCTTTTTTACAGACATATGCAACTCTCAAGTATTTGAAAATTCCTGGGCAAGGATCTCCAAACACATTATTCTTTGCCAATACATTACATCTTCTCTTTCCATTACAGAATTTCCTTACTTGTGAAAGAGATTTCTTGGAAGCACACACACTGGCAGCAATTCTTTTTTGGAATTTTGACAATGATTTTTGTGGACAAACTTTCATGTCTCCCTTTCCTCTTCCATAAACAGCTCTTCTCACAGCAATCTTTCTACCAGCTGGGCAGGCCAGTTTAAGAACTTTGTGTTCACACGTAACTCCAGTCTTGACATCTAATGCAGAAAAACAAAATAAACAAAATTCCAAACTTTTGAATAATTAGAAAGTCATTAATCTTACTTGGTTTTGGTTTTGGTTTTGGTGGTGTTGCTAAAACTGAGCATTATATTTTTTAGTAACTTTTTCAAATAATAATTTGATAGATATACCTTTTTTACAGACATATGCAACTCTCAAGTATTTGAAAATTCCTGGGCAAGGATCTCCAAACACATTATTCTTTGCCAATACATTACATCTTCTCTTTCCATTACAGAATTTCCTTACTTGTGAAAGAGATTTCTTGGAAGCACACACACTGGCAGCAATTCTTTTTTGGAATTTTGACAATGATTTTTGTGGACAAACTTTCATGTCTCCCTTTCCTCTTCCATAAACAGCTCTTCTCACAGCAATCTTTCTACCAGCTGGGCAGGCCAGTTTAAGAACTTTGTGTTCACACGTAACTCCAGTCTTGACATCTAATGCAGAAAAACAAAATAAACAAAATTCCAAACTTTTGAATAATTAGAAAGTCATTAATCTTACTTGGTTTTGGTTTTGGTTTTGGTGGTGTTGCTAAAACTGAGCATTATATTTTTTAGTAACTTTTTCAAATAATAATTTGATAGATATACCTTTTTTACAGACATATGCAACTCTCAAGTATTTGAAAATTCCTGGGCAAGGATCTCCAAACACATTATTCTTTGCCAATACATTACATCTTCTCTTTCCATTACAGAATTTCCTTACTTGTGAAAGAGATTTCTTGGAAGCACACACACTGGCAGCAATTCTTTTTGGAATTTTGACAATGATTTTTGTGGACAAACTTTCATGTCTCCCTTTCCTCTTCCATAAACAGCTCTTCTCACAGCAATCTTTCTACCAGCTGGGCAGGCCAGTTTAAGAACTTTGTGTTCACACGTAACTCCAGTCTTGACATCTAATGCAGAAAAACAAAATAAACAAAATTCCAAACTTTTGAATAATTAGAAAGTCATTAATCTTACTTGGTTTTGGTTTTGGTTTTGGTGGTGTTGCTAAAACTGAGCATTATATTTTTTAGTAACTTTTTCAAATAATAATTTGATAGATATACCTTTTTTACAGACATATGCAACTCTCAAGTATTTGAAAATTCCTGGGCAAGGATCTCCAAACACATTATTCTTTGCCAATACATTACATCTTCTCTTTCCATTACAGAATTTCCTTACTTGTGAAAGAGATTTCTTGGAAGCACACACACTGGCAGCAATTCTTTTTTGGAATTTTGACAATGATTTTTGTGGACAAACTTTCATGTCTCCCTTTCCTCTTCCATAAACAGCTCTTCTCACAGCAATCTTTCTACCAGCTGGGCAGGCCAGTTTAAGAACTTTGTGTTCACACGTAACTCCAGTCTTGACATCTAATGCAGAAAAACAAAATAAACAAAATTCCAAACTTTTGAATAATTAGAAAGTCATTAATCTTACTTGGTTTTGGTTTTGGTTTTGGTGGTGTTGCTAAAACTGAGCATTATATTTTTTAGTAACTTTTTCAAATAATAATTTGATAGATATACCTTTTTACAGACATATGCAACTCTCAAGTATTTGAAAATTCCTGGGCAAGGATCTCCAAACACATTATTCTTTGCCAATACATTACATCTTCTCTTTCCATTACAGAATTTCCTTACTTGTGAAAGAGATTTCTTGGAAGCACACACACTGGCAGCAATTCTTTTTTGGAATTTTGACAATGATTTTTGTGGACAAACTTTCATGTCTCCCTTTCCTCTTCCATAAACAGCTCTTCTCACAGCAATCTTTCTACCAGCTGGGCAGGCCAGTTTAAGAACTTTGTGTTCACACGTAACTCCAGTCTTGACATCTAATGCAGAAAAACAAAATAAACAAAATTCCAAACTTTTGAATAATTAGAAAGTCATTAATCTTACTTGGTTTTGGTTTTGGTTTTGGTGGTGTTGCTAAAACTGAGCATTATATTTTTTAGTAACTTTTTCAAATAATAATTTGATAGATATACCTTTTTTACAGACATATGCAACTCTCAAGTATTTGAAAATTCCTGGGCAAGGATCTCCAAACACATTATTCTTTGCCAATACATTACATCTTCTCTTTCCATTACAGAATTTCCTTACTTGTGAAAGAGATTTCTTGGAAGCACACACACTGGCAGCAATTCTTTTTGGAATTTTGACAATGATTTTTGTGGACAAACTTTCATGTCTCCCTTTCCTCTTCCATAAACAGCTCTTCTCACAGCAATCTTTCTACCAGCTGGGCAGGCCAGTTTAAGAACTTTGTGTTCACACGTAACTCCAGTCTTGACATCTAATGCAGAAAAACAAAATAAACAAAATTCCAAACTTTTGAATAATTAGAAAGTCATTAATCTTACTTGGTTTTGGTTTTGGTTTTGGTGGTGTTGCTAAAACTGAGCATTATATTTTTTAGTAACTTTTTCAAATAATAATTTGATAGATATACCTTTTTTACAGACATATGCAACTCTCAAGTATTTGAAAATTCCTGGGCAAGGATCTCCAAACACATTATTCTTTGCCAATACATTACATCTTCTCTTTCCATTACAGAATTTCCTTACTTGTGAAAGAGATTTCTTGGAAGCACACACACTGGCAGCAATTCTTTTTTGGAATTTTGACAATGATTTTTGTGGACAAACTTTCATGTCTCCCTTTCCTCTTCCATAAACAGCTCTTCTCACAGCAATCTTTCTACCAGCTGGGCAGGCCAGTTTAAGAACTTTGTGTTCACACGTAACTCCAGTCTTGACATCTAATGCAGAAAAACAAAATAAACAAAATTCCAAACTTTTGAATAATTAGAAAGTCATTAATCTTACTTGGTTTTGGTTTTGGTTTTGGTGGTGTTGCTAAAACTGAGCATTATATTTTTTAGTAACTTTTTCAAATAATAATTTGATAGATATACCTTTTTTACAGACATATGCAACTCTCAAGTATTTGAAAATTCCTGGGCAAGGATCTCCAAACACATTATTCTTTGCCAATACATTACATCTTCTCTTTCCATTACAGAATTTCCTTACTTGTGAAAGAGATTTCTTGGAAGCACACACACTGGTAGCAATTCTTTTTTGGAATTTTGACAATGATTTTTGTGGACAAACTTTCATGTCTCCCTTTCCTCTTCCATAAACAGCTCTTCTCACAGCAATCTTTCTACCAGCTGGGCAGGCCAGTTTAAGAACTTTGTGTTCACACGTAACTCCAGTCTTGACATCTAATGCAGAAAACAAAATAAACAAAATTCCAAACTTTTGAATAATTAGAAAGTCATTAATCTTACTTGGTTTTGGTTTTGGTTTTGGTGGTGTTGCTAAAACTGAGCATTATATTTTTTAGTAACTTTTTCAAATAATAATTTGATAGATATACCTTTTTTACAGACATATGCAACTCTCAAGTATTTGAAAATTCCTGGGCAAGGATCTCCAAACACATTATTCTTTGCCAATACATTACATCTTCTCTTTCCATTACAGAATTTCCTTACTTGTGAAAGAGATTTCTTGGAAGCACACACACTGGCAGCAATTCTTTTTTGGAATTTTGACAATGATTTTTGTGGACAAACTTTCATGTCTCCCTTTCCTCTTCCATAAACAGCTCTTCTCACAGCAATCTTTCTACCAGCTGGGCAGGCCAGTTTAAGAACTTTGTGTTCACACGTAACTCCAGTCTTGACATCTAATGCAGAAAAACAAAATAAACAAAATTCCAAACTTTTGAATAATTAGAAAGTCATTAATCTTACTTGGTTTTGGTTTTGGTTTTGGTGGTGTTGCTAAAACTGAGCATTATATTTTTTAGTAACTTTTTCAAATAATAATTTGATAGATATACCTTTTTTACAGACATATGCAACTCTCAAGTATTTGAAAATTCCTGGGCAAGGATCTCCAAACACATTATTCTTTGCCAATACATTACATCTTCTCTTTCCATTACAGAATTTCCTTACTTGTGAAAGAGATTTCTTGGAAGCACACACACTGGCAGCAATTCTTTTTTGGAATTTTGACAATGATTTTTGTGGACAAACTTTCATGTCTCCCTTTCTCTTCCATAAACAGCTCTTCTCACAGCAATCTTTCTACCAGCTGGGCAGGCCAGTTTAAGAACTTTGTGTTCACACGTAACTCCAGTCTTGACATCTAATGCAGAAAAACAAAATAAACAAAATTCCAAACTTTTGAATAATTAGAAAGTCATTAATCTTACTTGGTTTTGGTTTTGGTTTTGGTGGTGTTGCTAAAACTGAGCATTATATTTTTTAGTAACTTTTTCAAATAATAATTTGATAGATATACCTTTTTTACAGACATATGCAACTCTCAAGTATTTGAAAATTCCTGGGCAAGGATCTCCAAACACATTATTCTTTGCCAATACATTACATCTTCTCTTTCCATTACAGAATTTCCTTACTTGTGAAAGAGATTTCTTGGAAGCACACACACTGGCAGCAATTCTTTTTTGGAATTTTGACAATGATTTTTGTGGACAAACTTTCATGTCTCCCTTTCCTCTTCCATAAACAGCTCTTCTCACAGCAATCTTTCTACCAGCTGGGCAGGCCAGTTTAAGAACTTTGTGTTCACACGTAACTCCAGTCTTGACATCTAATGCAGAAAAACAAATAAACAAAATTCCAAACTTTTGAATAATTAGAAAGTCATTAATCTTACTTGGTTTGGTTTTGGTTTTGGTGGTGTTGCTAAAACTGAGCATTATATTTTTTAGTAACTTTTTCAAATAATAATTTGATAGATATACCTTTTTTACAGACATATGCAACTCTCAAGTATTTGAAAATTCCTGGGCAAGGATCTCCAAACACATTATTCTTTGCCAATACATTACATCTTCTCTTTCCATTACAGAATTTCCTTACTTGTGAAAGAGATTTCTTGGAAGCACACACACTGGCAGCAATTCTTTTTTGGAATTTTGACAATGATTTTTGTGGACAAACTTTCATGTCTCCCTTTCCTCTTCCATAAACAGCTCTTCTCACAGCAATCTTTCTACCAGCTGGGCAGGCCAGTTTAAGAACTTTGTGTTCACACGTAACTCCAGTCTTGACATCTAATGCAGAAAAAACAAATAAACAAAATTCCAAACTTTTGAATAATTAGAAAGTCATTAATCTTACTTGGTTTTGGTTTTGGTTTTGGTGGTGTTGCTAAAACTGAGCATTATATTTTTTTAGTAATTTTTCAAATAATATTTGATAGATATACCTTTTTTACAGACATATGCAACTCTCAAGTATTTGAAAATTCCTGGGCAAGGATCTCCAAACACATTATTCTTTGCCAATACATTACATCTTCTCTTTCCATTACAGAATTTCCTTACTTGTGAAAGAGATTTTTGGAAGCACACACACTGGCAGCAATTCTTTTTTGGAATTTTGACAATGATTTTTGTGGACAAACTTTCATGTCTCCCTTTCCTCTTCCATAAACAGCTCTTCTCACAGCAATCTTTCTACCAGCTGGGCAGGCCAGTTTAAGAACTTTGTGTTCACACGTAACTCCAGTCTTGACATCTAATGCAGAAAAACAAAATAAACAAAATTCCAAACTTTTGATAATTAGAAAGTCATTAATCTTACTTGGTTTTGGTTTTGGTTTTGGTGGTGTTGCTAAAACTGAGCATTATATTTTTTAGTAACTTTTTCAAATAATAATTTGATAGATATACCTTTTTTACAGACATATGCAACTCTCAAGTATTTGAAAATTCCTGGGCAAGGATCTCCAAACACATTATTCTTTGCCAATACATTACATCTTCTCTTTCCATTACAGAATTTCCTTACTTGTGAAAGAGATTTCTTGGAAGACACACACTGGCAGCAATTCTTTTTTGGAATTTTGACAATGATTTTTGTGGACAAACTTTCATGTCTCCCTTTCCTCTTCCATAAACAGCTCTTCTCACAGCAATCTTTCTACCAGCTGGGCAGGCCAGTTTAAGAACTTTGTGTTCACACGTAACTCCAGTCTTGACATCTAATGCAGAAAAACAAAATAAACAAAATTCCAAACTTTTGAATAATTAGAAAGTCATTAATCTTACTTGGTTTTGGTTTTGGTTTTGGTGGTGTTGCTAAAATGAGCATTATATTTTTTAGTAACTTTTTCAAATAATAATTTGATAGATATACCTTTTTTACAGACATATGCAACTCTCAAGTATTTGAAAATTCCTGGGCAAGGATCTCCAAACACATTATTCTTTGCCAATACATTACATCTTCTTTTCCATTACAGAATTTCCTTACTTGTGAAAGAGATTTCTTGGAAGCACACACTGGCAGCAATTCTTTTTTGGAATTTTGACAATGATTTTTGTGGACAAACTTTCATGTCTCCTTTCCTCTTCCATAAACAGCTCTTCTCACAGCAATCTTTCTACCAGCTGGGCAGGCCAGTTTAAGAACTTTGTGTTCACACGTAACTCCAGTCTTGACATCTAATGCAGAAAAACAAATAAACAAAATTCCAAACTTTTGAATAATTAGAAAGTCATTAATCTTACTTGGTTTTGGTTTTGGTTTTGGTGGTGTTGCTAAAACTGAGCATTATATTTTTTAGTAACTTTTTCAAATAATAATTTGATAGATATACCTTTTTACAGACATATGCAACTCTCAAGTATTTGAAAATTCCTGGGCAAGGATCTCCAAACACATTATTCTTTGCCAATACATTACATCTTCTCTTTCCATTACAGAATTTCCTTACTTGTGAAAGAGATTTCTTGGAAGCACACACACTGGCAGCAATTCTTTTTTGGAATTTTGACAATGATTTTTGTGGACAAACTTTCATGTCTCCCTTTCCTCTTCCATAAACAGCTCTTCTCACAGCAATCTTTCTACCAGCTGGGCAGGCCAGTTTGAGCACTTTATGTTCACAGGCAGTTTTGGTTTTTGCATCTAATTTGAATAAATAATGTGAGAAGTTATAGATTTTGATTTGAGCTGTTGTTGAGGTTTAATATTAGACAGAATGTGTTTAATGTGAGTGTTTGTATTTTTTTTAAATTTTGTTGTGATTGGGATGTTAAAGTATTTTTAGGTTTGTGTTTTACTTACCGTTCTGACAGGTATAGGCTATTTTTAAGTATTTAAATATTCCAGGGCATGGATCACCAAACAAGTGTTCTTAGCTAGAATGGTACATTGTCGTTTGAATTGCAAGCCTTGCGAATGACTTTCAAAGATTCAGTGATTGGCATTTTTTGTTTTGTATTGTAGAAATGAATTTGTTTAGTGATGATTTTTTGCAAGTTTCATGTCTTTTCTTGCTCTTCCATAAAATGCTCGTTTGATTTTCAAAACTTTCCCTGGTTGACATTTTATGTTCAAAGATTGATGTTCACAAGCCTGCTTGATGGTTTCCTCTGTTTTGAAGTTTTTGTACATTTTGTAACTTTGTTTTTGTTATACTACCTTTTTCTGTGAATTCTTCATCTGGAGGTGGCTTTTGTGGATTTTGTTCCTCTAGAAAATATATTTTATATTAACTTTTAAATTTGAGTTATCAAACCTGGTTTGCATTGGAAGCCATTTCCAGTAAAACCTGGTTTACATTTACATTTGAATCCTGAATTTCGTTTGTGCATGTTGCCTTTGAATGACAAGTATCTGTCTTTTCTCTACACTCATCGATGTCGTCGCATTCACCTTTGTTGTTCATTCTTAATCCTCTTTCACAATTGCACCCCCATTCGCCATCAGTTTTTATACACTTAGCGTTCATAGCTATGCAGTTAGGATGGTTAGCACATTTTGAGTTACCATTTGATTTGCAGGTGCATTGCTTTTTACAATTCGCTGTGGACCATGTTTCTCCAATCTTTTTTTTACAATAAACGAATATTTTTATTTTTGGCCTACTAATTTTATTTATGACGACTTACGTCTCTAGTTATACCATTTTCATCTTTACATCCTCCACAGTTTGTTTTTTCAACGCAGTTGTACCTTGTAATACAAAACCTGGTTTACATATGCATCTTGAAGATGGTTCATCATCACAATCGCCAAAATCTCTCCTCCACAAGTTTCGTCACACGATGGAGCATTTAATTTAAATTCCATATTTAAATTCCATATTTTCTGGACATGTTACGGCTATGGAAAATTTGTGTGTAA